CAAATAGAGCCAGATCGGTACAGGACCCACTCTCCCAGGACAGTGGGGATCCTGCCTGTCGACTGCCATCAAAATCTCCACTTCGGAAATGAGGCCGATTTTTGGCAAATTTAATGACGTAACCATCATGATTTTTTGCGAAAATCGTGAAAAAATGGATGTCCTTTTTTCGGATGGCAGTCGACAGACAGGACTCTCCCGATCACGAAAAGACATGCCACGCCCCAATCGGCTGCCGTATCGCTGAGATATAGAGTGCAGAAAAACCAGTATCTGAAAGATATGCACATCCAAATCTTCGGAATGCTATATCTCACACAAATAGAGCCAGATCGGTACAGGACCCACTCTCCCAGGACAGTGGGGATCCTGCCTGTCGACTGCCATCAAAATCTCCACTTCGGAAATGAGGCCGATTTTTGGCAAATTTAATGATGTAACCATCATGATTTTTTGCGAAAATCGTGAAAGAATGGATGTCCTTTTTTCGGATGGCAGTCGACAGACAGGACTCTCCCGATCAGAAAAAGGTATGCCACGCCCCGATCGGCTGCCGTATCGCTGAGATATAGAGTGCAGAAAAACCAGTATCTGAAAGATATGCACAAGATATCCAAATCTTCGGAATGCTATATCTCACACAAATAGAGCCAGATCGGTACAGGACCCACTCTCCCAGGACAGTGGGGATCCTGCCTGTCGACTGCCATCAAAATCTCCACTTCGGAAATGAGGCCGATTTTTGGCAAATTTAATGACGTAACCATCATGATTTTTTGCGAAAATCGTGAAAAAATGGATGTCCTTTTTTCGGATGGCAGTCGACAGACAGGACTCTCCCGATCACGAAAAGACATGCCACGCCCCAATCGGCTGCCGTATCGCTGAGATATAGAGTGCAGAAAAACCAGTATCTGAAAGATATGCACATCCAAATCTTCGGAATGCTATATCTCACACAAATAGAGCCAGATCGGTACAGGACCCACTCTCCCAGGACAGTGGGGATCCTGCCTGTCGACTGCCATCAAAATCTCCACTTCGGAAATGAGGCCGATTTTTGGCAAATTTAATGATGTAACCATCATGATTTTTTGCGAAAATCGTGAAAGAATGGATGTCCTTTTTTCGGATGGCAGTCGACAGACAGGACTCTCCCGATCAGAAAAAGGTATGCCACGCCCCGATCGGCTGCCGTATCGCTGAGATATAGAGTGCAGAAAAACCAGTATCTGAAAGATATGCACAAGATATCCAAATCTTCGGAATGCTATATCTCACACAAATAGAGCCAGATCGATACAGGACCCACTCTCCCAGGACAGTGGGGATCCTGCCTGTCGACTGCCATCAAAATCTCCACTTCGGAAATGAGGCCGATTTTTGGCAAATTTAATGATGTAACCATCATGATTTTTTGCGAAAATCGTGAAAGAATGGATGTCCTTTTTTCGGATGGCAGTCGACAGACAGGACTCTCCCGATCAGAAAAAGGTATGCCACGCCCCGATCGGCTGCCGTATCGCTGAGATATAGAGTGCAGAAAAACCAGTATCTGAAAGATATGCACAAGATATCCAAATCTTCGGAATGCTATATCTCACACAAATAGAGCCAGATCGGTACAGGACCCACTCTCCCAGGACAGTGGGGATCCTGCCTGTCGACTGCCATTAAAATCTCCACTTCGGAAATGAGGCCGATTTTTGGCAAATTTAATGATGTAACCATCATGATTTTTTGCGAAAATCGTGAAAAAATGGATGTCCTTTTTTCGGATGGCAGTCGACAGGCAGGACTCTCCCGATCACGAAAAGACATGCCACGCCCCGATCGGCTGCCGTATCGCTGAGCTATAGAGTGCAGAAAAACCAGTATCTCAAAGATATGCACATCCAAATCTTCGGAATGCTATATCTCACAGAAATAGGGTCAGATCGGTACAGGACCCACTCTCCCAGGACAGTGGGGATCCTGCCTGTCGACTGCCATCAAAATCTCCACTTCGGAAATGAGGCCGATTTTTGGCAAATTTAATGATGTAACCATCATGATTTTTTGCGAAAATCGTGAAAAAATGGATGTCCTTTTTTCGGATGGCAGTCGACAGGCAGGACTCTCCCGATCACGAAAAGACATGCCGCACTCCAATCGGCTGCCGTAAGTTAGCCCGCATTATTCAACGGAATATAAAAATTCAACAATTTGAACGTTTTTTTGTTTGACCTTTTTCTGGGCAAGATTCATTAAAAGCAAGTATTTAACATAAGCCAATTAAGTAGAAATATTATTCATGAATCGTATAAAATTATGTGGGCATGGCTAAATGTGCTATATAGCTGGGAATATTCCACGGAAGATCAAAAACGAGGAATATGCTACATTTTCGGTATTTTTTTTGAGTGAGACCGTATATTTTATTTGGACTTGCTTTTTTTTTGGACCTGCTCTCTATTTTGTGGTGGGAAATTTTCTCAAATTGATGGAATTTTTCCGGGATACAATGTCCCTTTTCAGCTCTGTCCCTATATGCCATACTCACTTACGTTTTCTTACGTTTTATGTTGCTGGCAACATTCACTTTGTATGGGCCAGACTCATGTGCCGTGAAATCGAGCAGCATTGTCCCTCAACATTGCGCGGATTGAGCAACATTTTGCATACCCTGGTAAATGGATATTATAGAACTGAGAGAATGTTTGTCATCTAATGCACCAATAAAGGCCAAAACTATTCAGTCTCTGTTGAAAAGGTATTTCAACGATATTTTGAAGGTTGTGGTCTTCTTACTGAAACCAAATATGGGTATCGGGATCAAGATATATTTACAAGACCCTAATCATATTCATTAACAGGTCCAAAACATAACAATCTGAGATCATTTGTATATTAATTACGCTTAAAAACATAGTTATACCTATGCATAAACCACGGTTGACGTGACATTTCATACTTACTTACGTTACATTCCATACTGACTTACGTTGCTACTGTTTTTTTGTTGACCTTTTTTGTTTAAGCCTTGCTGCAGTCAAAATACAATAATTGGGAGTACTAAAAACTAGCCAATCTTGTAGAAAATTTATTCATTAATGGCCTAAAATTATGTGGGCAGAGCTAATGGTTTTAGTTAGGCAGCCTTCTTCAACGGAATAAAGAAATTGAGCAATTGGAACGTTTTTTCTCTTACGTTTTATTACGTTTTTATACACTATATGTACAATAAAAGAGAGTACTTAAATTGTTTTATTGAACCCAGTATATGAGTATACATATGTATCAATCGACATCCCGGCTTGGAGATAACGAACGAAAATAAATTGCTTTATTGAACAGTCTCCAGTGCGTCATTTCACTGTGTTCTGTTACCGAGATGATCGGTTCAATTGGAGCTGCTGCGGCAGCAATTTGTGTAGTTTTATGCACTGTTGCTTTTCAAGTGGGAGCTGGCGCGGCTGAGGTCAAGTTCAAGTACGAAATTAAGGAGTTCCAAGTGCCGCTGGATCATTTCAGCTTTCTGAGCAATGCCACCTTCAACATTCGGTACCTGTACAACGATTCCTTTGTGGACAAGAAGAATGCGCATACCCCGATCTTCTTTTACACGGGCAACGAGGGCGACATCGAGCTGTTTGCGCAGAACACGGGCTTCATGTGGGAGCTAGCTGAGAAGCAGCGGGCCCTACTCATTTTTGCGGAACATCGCTATTATGGAAAATCACTGCCATTCGGCGCCTCAACCTTCAACGCCAGCATGCCGGATCACTTGGCCTACTTTACGGTGGAGCAGACGCTGGAGGATTACGCAATGTTGATCACCTTCCTACGCAACGATCTTCCGCTTCCGGTGGTGGCCTTTGGAGGCTCTTATGGCGGCATGCTGGCGGCCTGGTTCCGCATGAAGTATCCGCACCTTGTGGCCGGAGCATTAGCTGCGTCGGCACCCATTCTCCAGTTTCCTGGCATAACCGACTGTGATATATTCTACAGGATCGTAACATCGGTTTTTCAGAATGCCTATAATTCCAATTGTACGACCAACATTGGCCGATCGTGGAAGACTTTTGAGACGCTGGGTGGCACCGAGGCAGGAAAGAAACAAATCTCCGATGCTTTCAATCTGTGCCATCCTATCAAGAACGATGCAGACCTGAAGAATTTCCTGGATTACATAGAGGAGGTCTACGGGAATCTGGCTATGGTCAACTATCCGTACAACAGCAGTTTCCTGGCACCGCTACCGCCATATCCAGTGCGACAGGTCTGCTTTTATCTTAAGGATCTGCACCAGAGCGATGCCGATCTGCTGCATGCCATGGCCAGTGCCCTTGCTGTCTACACAAACTACACTGGCTCTGTCAAATGCCTGGACACTTCTGTCAACTCAAATGCTGACGATTCCGGCTGGAATGTACAGACATGCAACCAGATGGTCATGCCATTCTGCTCCAACAGCACCGACTCTATGTTCCGTCCATCGAGCTGGAACTTTAAGGAATTTTCCGACAAGTGCTACAAGGACTACCGTCTAACACCCAAGCCATACGACATAATCCTACGTTATGGGGGCAGGAATATTGAGACGGCCACCAATATCATTTTTAGCAACGGCTTGCTGGACCCATGGAGTGGAGGCGGTGTTTTGCAAGCCCCAAATAATAAGGTGGATATTATTATTTTGCCGGAGGGCGCACATCACTTGGACTTGCGAAACAGCAACCCAGCAGATCCTCCGTCGGTGCGCGATGCGCGCAATAAGGAAGCTTCTATAATAGCCCGATGGATACACGAGTTCTAATTTTGAAATAATGGGTCAATTCCTACCCGCCCAGAGTTTAGCCCTATTCGAACAAGCAATACAAAGCCATTATAATCAACCCTACACAAATATGTATCTTAATATGGATTTTATAAATAAATATTATCTTATTTTAAAATTCAGTTCTTAAACTCATTTAAAGACTCTATGAACTTGAACTAGCGCTCGTTTTTGATTACAAACTGACCTGCCGTCTGTTCGTGATGCCCGCGATAAGAAAGCACCTATCTATTATCAATATGGATTTTATACACCATTCAAAAATTATTTTTTTTTAATTTTCTTTAATAATCATAATGCATATAAAGGTACAGTTGTTCACAAGAAAGGAAATCTTAAAATGCTACATAAATTATATAAATTTGATAACGTTTCATTGTTAACAGGATAGAAGCAGCGAAATACACAAATTTAACATTTAAATCAACCTAATTAAATACATAATAAATCGTATATGTCTAATAAATAAATGTATGTATTTACTCAATAATTGCTCAAGCGTTAAATAATAAAAAAATATATTTAATAAACAAGTTGATAAGTATAAGGCAAATAGAATTAGGTATTTATCAAAAAATATTAACAACAAAATGTTTTCTTTTTTACTGGATGGACTTTACGCCATTTCTATATGCAATTTGCATTTTTCCGTTTTTTTTTGTTTTGTTTTATTTAGTTTTTAATTTCAATTTTTGTATACGCATTTTACAGTATTTTCTTTATATAGAAAAATTTGTTGGTTGGCTTAGCACCGGCATAGGACACTTACTTCGTTTTTGTTCAATGCTCGTGATGCGCACGCTCCTCTCCATCAAAGTGGCAGCACCATCGCACAGTCATGTCTATGGTTTTAATTTTGGAAATGAGTATCAGGAATGCATGAAAATGTCTTCTAGTTTTCGCTGCTGCTTTGTTGGTGTTTAAGGATTGGAACTGCACTGTGCTCCTGTGGCTGGTGCACTTCAAGCAGTTCAGTTGTCCTCTAACCAGGGCCGTGGGAGAGAGCTTGGCCGTTTGGTAAAGAGTATCCTTGGGCAACGACAACTGTCAGGGGGCCAGGGTCTATTCAAAGGCCAATGGTATAGGGTCAGCCGCGGCGTCTTGTAATTTGGGAGAAAAACGCTTAGCTGATCCCAAGCATTGGTCTTTGAATAGCTTTCCCAGGCATTTGGTCTATGTGGGTCATGATTTGTCTTGGGATTTTGTTAACTTTCGTAGCCGATGGATAGCCAACAGCAACGGCTTGTGGCCATGATAATGCAAAAATGTTCCACGAGATTCGCGATACCGTGTTTTCACAAGCCGCTGGCTGCTGCAACTGCTCTTTAAATGAAGGGAGCGTGCACTTATGAGTAAAATTTTCGTGTGCGTATTTTGATTTCGTTTTAGCTTAGGTATTTTATATACAAAATGTTGGGTTCTCTATAGTTCTGGGATCATATATATATATGTCTATATATGAATATATAAATTGTTTGCTGTGCAAATATATATGTATGTATAATGTATATATCGTTTTACAAAAGTGTTTCGTTACTTTGTCGTTAGTTTGAATATAGTTTCTTTCTTTCTATCTTTCAATCATTCTTTCATGTGTTGTGTTTCTTTATGCTCGTCGAGTCTAGGGTTGTTTTTGTTTTGGGGGTATACGAGTAGGTTTGATTTAATCATTATGTACAGTACAGATACAGATTTGTATTTTAATTTGAATTCAATGCCTCTAGCTATATAAACATACTAAACGGTTAAATACAATAACTGTTGGAAAGTAAAATTTACATAATCCAAATATTTTGAAACAGGAAATTTCTTATAAAAGGCATCGTTATGCTATAGTCTGAATTTGTTTTCATTATTTAGGGCGTTAGTTAGTCTGTTAAATTTGTTTCTTGCACTAATCCAATTGCAACTCGACAGCTTTGGTTTCGATTTTTGATTTGCGTTTGACAGTTAGGGGTTTACGTTGGCGGCGGTCCATGGGGATACGACAGCATAGGTTCCAGACTCCGGGCAAATGTGTTGGAGAACATGCACGTATAGTCCTCACCGTGGGGCACCAGAGTTGCCACACCTAAAAGCAACAGCATGAGCGCCTGTATGGGCAGGGAGGCACGGGCAACGCGGCCTAGGAAGCGAGCACCGCGTGCCAGAACCGTGGTATTGATGACATCGCCATCGACAGCATCGCCATCGGTGTTGCTATAATAGGGGGTAGTCGAGATATACATTAGTTATGGCCCATACAAATCACAAACACATTTAACAATGACAAAAATCATGCAAGAATGGACTGACTAAGCATGTGCCCATATACAGTGGGGACAATGTAAGAGGTGCACATGTTGCTCAAAATCAAATTGATCTAATTTAATCTACGATGCATTCTGAACCGAAAAATTATACTTCTATCGATATTTACTTTGCATTTTCTGTGTTTGGTGCGGCGGCCTGCATAGAAGAGGTTGATAATGTAGTATTATCCAAAAGCTAGATATGCCATAATGGAAAAGAAAGGAAATAAAATAAATTAAAAATAATATAAATCATAATAAATTTTGTTTCAATTTTTGTTTCAGTGGGTCTCCATTTATAGTACACTTGTCATTCAATTTTGGACTGCCAATTGGTTTCACTTACTTTACTTTTGGTGCGCTTACAAATCAACAAATAAAAAACAGAGTTTCTTTTTTCTTTTTTTAAGGACAATTCAAGTTCTTGAACGGGAACCACTTTAGGGCTTAGAATTGGACTGGGACTTACCTCACTCGACAACATGTGTAGCGGCACACCAAGATTGTCGCCCTCGTAGCCGAGCACTGCGCCCAGCTTGACGATGTAGATGCCGGAGAGGCGACGCAGGGATTGCAGACGCAGACGGAGATCGGTCAATCTGGAAAGGGTTCTAGAACATTTAAAACATTTGCCAACGGCTCTTGGGGTGTATGTTCGGATGAAGGGTTAGAATGGGCGGACGAAAGAATTTTGAGTACCAAAAATAACACAAAAAAATAAATATATGTACACGCAACAAAAACAGCAAACACAAAATATTCTTTACAGGCAAAACAAATGTTTGGATACGATTTGATACTGATTGTTTTTTGTAGACTAAACAACAAATGAAAAATTATCATTTCTACTAGGCGGAGTAGTGTCCCCCGATCGAGGGACATTGAAAGTGAAGAGATGTGCCGAAAGTTGAGATAGTTTTTAGTATAATTTAGTTGGAATAATGTTGATAATATTTGTACAGGAATTGGTGTTCCAAAAGAGGTTTGATTTGTTGGTGGAGAATGTAAAAAAAAGCATTAAAGGCCGATATCTTTAGAAATTTGAATGGAATAAGCACATGGAGTAGGAAGAGGTAGGAAAGATCTAACTAATAGAATTCTATTAGAAGTAAATTACTTATTTTAAGATTATCATATTGAAAAACCCAATAATTCTACAAAAAATAAAAAACAAAAATTCACAAAAATAATTTCCGTCCAACTAACGAAAGTTCTATAGCCCATCCATTTTTATTTAAACCTAACTCCTAAGATCTTAGGCATTCCTAAGCTCAAGCGGCACCTACGAATCGTTTCGTTCCGCCCTCGGAACTGGCACCTGGGAGACCTTACCTTTCATAGGTATGTTGGGACTGTTCCTCAGAGCCTTCGACAGAGCGCAGTAGCTGATCGGCGGCATCCTGTAGACTCACGACACGCGGCTCACAGCGCTCCAATTCGGCACGCAGATCCTTGAATTTCTTGAATTTGGTTTCAAGGACCGAACGCTCCTCGGTAAGATCCACGGGCTCGGAAGCCTTGATGTTCTGCTCGGTTCGCTGCAGCCAATCGACCAGCTCATCGATGGTCTGATGGAATTCACTGTTGCCCATGAGGGCGGTCTGGAGAAGAGCCTGCCATTTGGTGGCATTGATGCAGACATTGTTCCAGCGCTCGTTATCCGCCTCGAGGCGAGAGCGTAGCTGGCGGGCCTTCTCAGTGTCCAGGGTATGGGTGGCCAGATGATCACCGACCACATTCAGCGACGAGATGATCGACTTGTGACTCTCTAGATCCAGCAGGAACTCGCGATGATCCTGTGTCACATCCTCCAGCAGTTCAATGTTGGACGGTGGGGTCGATTGAGCCTTTTGGGTGCTCTCGGCGAACTGCAGCCACTGCTCCAGGCGCCACAGATCGTTGTCGATCTGCTGCCAGTTGCGTTGCGTGCAGAGCGGACACGTTAGACGGCCGACCTCGCTAAGGAAGACAAAAAGAAAAAGATATTAGTATTTGAATTCAGCAGATGAGTACGATCTAATTGTTAGCACAATCTGGGCCATATCAAAATAGCTTTAATTTGGCTTTAAGCAGCTGCCGCTTGAGTATCATAGTTCTCCCTCTTTTGCTGTGCTCCACCTTGGAGTCTGGCAGTCATTTGGGTAGCATCTGCCAGCTTTTGTCTAGTGGAGGCCCTGTCCCAACACACGCAGAACACGGGAGTGGAGACACAGCAGGAGGTTGAACAACAATTGAGGGACAGACAGGCGGGCAGGTACATATGTATTTATGTAGGTATTTAGCGAACACTTACTGTATGCAGTTGTACTTGTAGGACGCAGGTAGTAGGCACCTGGTATCATGGCATCATGAATGCGCACGTTCGTTCAAGTTAAGCGTTTTTAGGGTGGGATGTTTTATAGAGTGTTTAGGCGTGTCGCGTGTTTGTGTGTAGTATGTGGGTGTGTGACAGAAGTAGGCAACAGCGAGAGATGGAAAGCAATAAAACATTTTGTTAGTCAAAAAACCACAACCAAACACCAATAACAGATAGATCGACCAATATCAAAGAACTTGCAAAACCAAAGGATTCATTTTACGATTTAAAGAACAAAACAAAAGCCCAATTAGGGAAACTCGAGTCGAGATTCAATGTTACTACTATTCTCCGTCGGGCATCAATGTGCCGTGTCATGTGGAAATTGAATGGCTTACATATAGTTATTATATTAATCCCTAGCTAACTATATCTATAACGGAACTTTAAGTACTTTAAGACTACTGTAGACAAACACAAGTCATCTGTTTTAGTATGATCCACTAGACAGGATGCCGTTTGTCTCTCGAAAAGAAGTTGCTTTGGGAGCAGTTGAGACACAGAGCAAATAATGGTTATACAATATGCCACTTTCACTCCACAATTATGTTTTTGTTAACTATAATTCACGGATGCATTCATCTGGAATAGACACGGAACAAACGAAGCAAACTCCACCACAAAATTAGAAAGCACACAAAAAGAACACAAGCGATAACTATCAGGAATCTAAGGCTTTGCAAGTCTTCAGTAAACGTACATCTAAGAAAGGATATATCTGGGATATGGGTGATGCTTACCTTGCATTTTGATCGTGCTGCTGTCGCGCCTTCCACTGCGATTGCAGTGTGTCAAAGCGCAACGTGAGCTCTGAGACGGTTTCCGACTGGGCGGCCTGGTTGTCGGCCTGGCATTCGGTTAGGAGCAGATTGCTGAGATGCTTGACTAGTTCCGTGGAGGACTGGGCATTGCCCAGCAGCTTGGCTATTTTCTGGGGTCCCGGCTTGCGCGTCTTGTCCACAATCGTGCGCTGCAGCTCGTCCAGATTGTTCTGGCACTCGGCAATGGCCGTCTGCAGCTCCATGATGTACGCATCCTTGGCAGTGATGGAGGTCTCGCGATGCATCTGCTGGGCCTGGCGCATCTTCCGTTGCGACAGCGTGTTCACCTGAACGGCTGCATTGGCCGCCTCGTTGACTGCTCCGGCAGCACTTTGTGCCGCTCTGGCCAGCCAACTGGTCTTCAGGGTGACGATCCGCGTCTGAACCGTCTGCCAGAGTGTGGTGTAGACCGTCATCAGTTCGAGCATCTGCTTCAGTTGCGGCTGCTGCTGCTTGGGTCGTGATTTGGCCTCTTGCGCCAAGGCATCCGCTTGCTGGACATGCTTTTGGGCATCCTGTAGCTTGCGCTCCAGGCTCTCCAAACGCTGCAGCACCGCCTTGGGCTCTGCCTTGCCGTTCTGTTGATCCTCGGCTGTTGCGCTGGGCAGTTGCTCTAGGGCCTTCTGAATGGCCGTCAGGGATTGAGTGGCCTCCTGCTGGGCGGTATGGAATTCTCGCAGCACCTTTGCATCCTTGTCGATGGCATCGAGCAGGGCATGACACCGGGGCGTCAGTTGGCGCCACTTGCTCAGCATCACCTTGGTAGGGAGCGTGAGTTTCTGTATGTTCTCGGGCTCCACACCAGTGCCCATCGTCAGCTTGGCGTAGGTCTGCTCCAGATGCCGCAGATTCACTGACTGGCTGTCGAGTTCATCGAGCTTGGAGCGTAGCTCCTTCTGGCGCTCCTCCAGCTTCTGCTTGCCGCTGGACTTGTGGTCACGTTCGTAGCCCGCCAGCTGGGTCTCCTGCTTGCCCAGCCAGTTCTTGTGCTCGGCTGTCTGTTTGATCAGACTCTGCAGGAGATTCCAGATGCTGAGGATGCGCTGCTTACGCTCCGCGGACTGGCTGCACACGTTCTTCCAGCGCAGCTCCAGATTCTGGGCGGAGGAGGCCAGGCCGGAGGTGTTCACCTGAGTGCGCCAGCTATCAGCATCGTTCAACAGCATCTCGACGAGATTCAGGACCTCGCCGACATTGCTGCTGTGGTGTTCGATGGATCGCTGGATTTGCTCGTGCTCCTTCAGCTTGGCCTCGATCACGTTCGGGGTGTAGCTCTCGAAGCTGAGGGGTTTGTCCAGCTGCGACTCCACTTCGAAAAGCCAGGCACGGATGAGGGCTATCCTCTCCTCCAGTCGCAGCAGCGTCATCTTAAGCTCCCCGATCTTCGTGGCTCGCTGCTTGCACAGGTACTTAAGTCGTTGCCAGCGATCGATGAGGGAATCGCTCTGCTGCTGTACCTGGGCCCGCACCTCAGGCTCCTCGGCGTACAGCGTGAGCAGCTCCCGACTGGTGGACAGCAGCCATTCGCGCTCCTTGTCGCGCAGCTGCAGCTCTGCATTGACTTGCTGCTCCAGCTGCTTGGCTGCCTGCTCTGGGTTGGCCATGGCAGAGACATCGGCATCGCGCTCGACGCGCTGCTCGAGACGTTGCAGCCACTGGGAGATGCGTCCGTAGCGAATCTGGTAGTTGGATTGCAGGGACAGGCGCTCGTCGATGCTGTTGATGAGGCTCGCCAGCTGGTAGTCGAGGTCCGCGTGCTGTTGCCACAACAGCCAGTTGCGCTGACGGACCGTCTTCATGTCGTGCGGGCTCACGCACTCCTTTAGCTCCTCCTGGGTGACCATCAGGCTCTCCAGCGCCGGAACCTGTGCTCCCAACTGGACACGCTGTGCGCGCAGGGCTTGCAGCAGCTGTTCAATGGCCGCCGGCTGGGTGGGCAGTGGTTCGCTGCTGCTGTCCAGCAGTTTCTGGGCTGCTCCAAACTCTTTTTGGAGCTGCAGGACACGCTGCTCGTAGGTCTCCGAGAGCTGGCTGATGCGGTGCAGGAATCCCTGCCATGTCTCGAGGGCGGCACGCAGATTGTTAATCCGCTGCCCGATGCTGGCCTGCTCCATGCGCATGGCTGTGGCCAGGGCCTCGTCGCAGTGACGGGACAGCTGTTGCTGCTGCTCCTGCAGGGACTTGCTCTGCTGCTCGCCCTGGTCCAGCTGCTGGAGCAGACCGTCCAGGCGGCTCTTGAGGTGCGGCACCCGCTTGAGGTGGATGTAGCGCAGCTGGAGATTGTTGCGCTCCGCCTCGCGCTGTCGCAGCCAGTCGAGCAGGGCCGCCAGCTGCTGGCGGTAGGCGTTCCAGCCGCTCACACGACGCTCCAGTTCCCCGTTGCGTTGCATGATCCGCGACAGCGTTTCGTTGTGCAGATTGGTCAGCGCCTTGTATTGCTCGGAGAGCTCCGACTCGAGTGGCGTCTCCGCGAGCACGCTCTGCTGCGAGATGAGCAGGTTCTGGTGGATGGCGCACAGCTGCTGCTGCTCTCGCAGACTGCTGTAGTCCTCGGGTATGGCACAGGAGAGGAAGGACTGGACATGCTGCAGATACTGACGCCACAGGCGCAGTGCCTCCGAGCTGTTCTGGCTGCGGGCCAGCCGCGTCGACAGGCGATGGTACTCCTGGAACGTGTCCTGGAATATCTTCTGCCACAGGGCCAGCACCTCCAGTATCCCATCATCGGCGCCAGTTGCGGGCGCCACTTCATTGCTTTGCTGCTGGCGTTCACGCAGCTGCCGCAGCTGCTCCTCCGTGCGGGCCAGCGTCTGTAGATGGGCACGCAGGGCCGCCAACTGCTCCTCGCTTTCCCTGGGCGTTTGCGGTGCATCACGTGATATGTCCTTCAATATGGAAAATGAAAGAGATACATTAATATATTTGCATTGCTGGTCAGTTGTTTGTGCATCGCTAATTGGTCTGACCCTAATATGGGCTGCACTCCGATGTCTCCAGTTACCGCTGGCTGGCTGGCTCCACTGCTGCATGGCTTCGCCTAAAACAATGAAACATTGACAGCCCGTCGCAACTCTTTCTGCCACCGACTGGCAATGACCTCATGCTAACGACACGCGCTCTCTGTTTCTGCCTCTGTTTTTGCCTTTGGCTCTGCCTCTGCTTCTGCCCAACTTCAATTGTCTCGAGGTGCAGTGGGAGGCGGCGGCGGCGTGCTCTAAACTGGTTGTGGGGTGGGACACGCACACAGGTGCAACTGACGAAAATGGGTGCACCGTGGTGCAAAAGGTAATTGGAAATGGGGCTACTACCTGCACTAAACCCTAAAGACCAACATTTTGCTGTCCATATTATAAATGTTTAAACCCCTTTAGCAGACATATTGGTAAAAACAGTAACAATTATGGATATTGATCTTCAGAAATAGTTGATGGAACTGCCTCAACATTAGCTAACAATATTATGGTTTACTGAAAGTCTCAACAGCCACTTAAGCCATTCTAATAGTCCCTTAAGCAAATTACATTTCATCGAAAGTAAGATTTTGAGTCATCGAATTTTTTAATCAAGAAATACGGATATATACATATAAATTGTTTCATTTTGTGCATTGTAGTAGCCTACGATAAATCCTATGCTACAATCAACAACTATAGCCAGAGTCACAAGGCCTTGAAAAGAAATATATGTATAATACAGGGCGATTTCCTAGAAATCATTTAAATGTCAGCAAGGCCTTCCTGTAACTGGCTTTGCATCTGACCAACATAAAACTTTATTTATCACCTAAACTGACTAAATGTATATCCCCCCAATACGAATTTAATATTAATACTACCTTTCTGTTTCATCAAATATTCAGCATCTTCAGAAGTCAGTTTCGTTTAGCTTTAGCTAAAGTGTCAATTATTATTTTATAAGTCTGTCGCCCCACCCGAATATCAGGTCACGCCCTGGTCACGCCGCCATCAATCAATAATGAGCCGATGTGGGGTACGGTACCACTGTGAGTGTTAGTATTGTACACGAAAAGTTTTTCAACTTTTAACCCACTTAAAATAGCATGTCCTTCGTATGGGATTAACAACAACAGTGGCAGTAGCAGTAGCCGGCTAGCCAGAGCCCCAGAGCCCCAGTGCCGTGTGTTGTGCTCTGTTTGTGTGGGAATTCCCACAAGCCCCAATCCCATCCCATCCCATCCCACCGACATCGACATCGACACCGACATCCAACCAACATATGCCAATATCCGTCCACATTCGTATTCCTAGTTATAATCGATAGATAGATGGAGCGACGGAGTGTTCCCGAGTTGCCGCCACAGACACTATTTTCTTTCGCGTTTCACTAAAACACTCACCTGCTGCACGTTATTGAAGTAAACCTTGGCCTGTGTCACCTCCTTGTCCAGTTCTTTGCGCTCTTTGTCTTGCGTTTCGGCCACATTGGCGAGTGTGGTGATGGCATCTTTGCATTCAGCCAAACGTTGACCCAAAGCATCCAGTTCGCCCTGCATCAGGGCTGAGGCATCCAGACCCACATCGGCGGCTATCTTGGCCACAATGTCACGCAGTTCCAAGATTCTATCATTTTGTGTGGTCAGATTATCTTGGCAGGCCTGCGAGAAGACAGATGGAAAGAGAGTTAGAGATGGAAATCAAGTTAGTTAATGACTGCCAAAAAAAAAATAGAAAAAAACCTACTTAATTATATACATTTTTCCTTAAAAGAGAATCAGGTTTCTTTAATAGTTTAAGCTTCTTTTTGTATACAAAAATATAGAGAATGAAATGAAGAAACCCCACAACGCGACTGTTGAAATATATTTTGTTGGATTGCATGCAAAATGTCAATCGTCTATATTTAGAGATATACTCGTATGTGTGTGCTATATAGCCTCAACAAATAGTATTTAGCTCAAGCCGGCCGGGTCTAGCCGGTCAGCCCTTATCAATTGTCGTATACCCCAGTGTCGTACGGTGTCGAGTGCAGGCGGAACGCACCACCATTTCCCTCTGCTCGACAAAATGTAATTAGGGCCCCACACCGCAAGCGCACTTTCGTTTTCAATTTAGACAAAAAACAGGTCATACTCTGTTCTGTTCTGTTTTCTCCGACACTTATTTCTAATTTAAAGGCAAGCGCATTTCTCGTACTATAAGCTGTGTAGAGCCAGAGGGCCCTTCGTTTGCTTTGCCGCGTGCCCTATGATATCATCTGTGGAATATTTGGCGGCGATGCTTTATCGCCGGGGCATGGGGCAAAAGCAAACGAAAACAAGTCCAACATTTTGGCATTGAAAACCCAACAGCCCCAGTCACAGCATAGTAGAGTAGGTAGTGTTTGGAAATACATTTATCTTTTATCCCATACCGGAGGAGGCTCAAGGCATTTTGGGCCTTCTGTTGATAAAACAGCTACTGCATACATATGTATTCGAAATTCTGAATGTTCCAACCGGGTTGATAAACTCTCCGTCCAACCTCCTACCATGTGAAATGACAGCTGGCGCTGTCCAAAAATATAATTACAGCAAGTTGGTACACGACCATAATGATCAATAAGCACACAGCGGACCAGCCACTGGCGACCAGCGACTGGCGACTAGAGTATGCGTTAATTTTTAAAGTAAATACCTAATATAAGAAATCAGTCATCGCACATTTTGTGTGTCTATTTGTTCGAGCATAATTTATGACACAACAAACGCTAGGGAAAAGTTACAGCAACACGCCGCGCACAGATATCACGGTATGGAGGAGCCCACCGCTCTGGGGCTATTACTATTACAACCGATTACATTGACGAGTCCAAAAAAACAGAACATAAACACAGGTAAGGTAGATATGGAACTGGATAGAACTACGGAAAATCAATGTAATTATAGGTACGATGGGTATTAGTAGGTCTGTGTAGAGCAATTAAAGGGTCATAGTTCCGTTCGTACTCGTTTGCCGCCAAAAAATCAAACAGTCCACCCACCCACACATATTGGGTGGGAAAGCCCAATCAGCCCCACCAATGTACTCCCACGTCTAGGGTTGTAGTAGTAGTGTTTGGTGGTCACGTCATCTACTTACAATAGAAAGACTTACCTTGGCATGTTGTAGGGCGTCCAAGGGCTGCTCCAAGGACTTGACCGTATCCATTTGCTGGTCAATGGAACTCTGAACGGCCGCCGAGGCGTTGCGATATTTATCCCAGAGTTCGACGGCTCGCTGGTAGCGTGTGCAGAGCTGCTGCAGATTCTCGGTGGTGTCATTCCAGGCCACTACCGCATCCTGCACAGCCGACTCGATCTGTTCGACAATTTGCACATCACAGCTCTCGATCAGGGGCTTGGCGGCGCCCTTAAGCTCATCTATCAGTTCTTCGCGGTTGTGTAGATCGCCGGCCAGACCCTGGCGATTGGACGGATATTGAAGAGACGGATGGATGGATTAGTACATTTGTATAAATGGGGATTTCTAGACGCGACCGACGACCGACGAATGCGATACGCGCTCGGTTCGAAGCTAACGACAACTGCCTGCCGCGGACAAAACTTGCTACAGAAAGAGCAGGGAGAGCCGCCAGCAAAAGCTTACGCTAAAGCTTTGATAAGCTTTGATGCCGTGAAGAATGTACGGAATGGATAGGGCATCACGAATTTCTAATCGTGTTTGTCACGCACACAAACACGAATGCATAGAGCTATGCATTAGAAAAGTTCTTTGAAATTACTTTTAATGAATTTGTTGGATATATGAATACTCGTACTTTTGTGAACCGCTGGCAAAGCTGGATATGAGAAATATATGAATATTGGAAAAAATCATTTGAAAAGTAAACGTTGATTTTCTTTTTTATAAATAAGTATCCTTCGATTGTGGTTTATGCGAGTGATATTTAATGCATTCTGGGAGGCACAAAGAAAATTTCTTCATACAAATAAACATATCTTTGGGTCAATTACGAATTGAATTAAGCTTTAATGTTTTTTTTTCTGTACCAAATGATGAATAGCACTACAAATTAGATAGAATCTTTTTTCGAAACTAAACTTTTTGTTAATTAAAAAATGTGGATAATAATCGATATTTTGTTATACCTCTCAAACAATATTTATGGCTGAATTTTATGGCACACAAAATGAAGAAAATATCTTCAAATTTCACGAAATAAGAGGCAAATAATTTTCCAGCGCGTATGCTCAAAGCAAACTGATTGAAAATCAGAAAAGGCACCACCTTTTGTAGGAATTTTCGATTGGGAAAAACAAGAAGTTTTCCAGTGATGCTGATAAGCATAGCGAAAATGGTAGCGAAAATTCCGCACAGCAGGTAGCAGATAGTCTTCTATTGTATCTCACGAGTAAACAGAGTCATAAAAGGGGATAGAATGGCAAGGGATGGTGTAAGGTATGGAATAGGAATGGGAGTGGGATGGGTAGGGGGAATAACTTACCTCTAATCTTTCGGTGGCTTTCCTTAGTCGCTCATAGTCCACTTGTCCGTGCACTCGAATGAGTTCCATCATAAAGTCCGTCTCCTGCACTGAGCCATGGACCAGCTCCAACTGACGTTCGTAGCGTAGCCACATGGCCAGGCGATTGCGTAGAATGGCCATAATGTTGGTGCACTTGCTCTCAAGGAAGGTCTGATCGTCTTGGAGTTGGGATATGTCCCGCTCGAGCTTCACCGGCGACACGGACATCTTGAGGCGCATGGGCAGGGTGTGGAGCATCTGGCGGATGCGCATGATCTCCTGCCAGCTGGAGACGAGGTCCTCGCCCACATTCTGACAGTCGGTGACGGCCTTCTCGAGGACATCAGCTCCCTGGCGCTCGGCCGCCTCGCATTCATCCAGAATGACAGAGATCTTGGCCTGATGCTTGCGCTGGTTGCTGATCCCCTCCTGGATGGCCTGCAGCTGATCGCGCAGCACGGAGGCACCCTCCAACTCCTCGGCTATCTGTGTGGTTATCTTGTGCGACAGGGCAAACAGCTCGCCGATCTTCTCGGGTTCGATGGCCGCCGGCTCTTGGAGTCCAATGCGACCCAGTTCGTTGCCAATGAAGCCGACGCGTGTGCGCAGCACTTGAACGCGTTCGATGTAGAGACAGAGCTCCTCCTCGTTCTTGATCACGCCCTTCATGCTGGTCATCGTCAGGTAGATCTCCTGCAGCTCACGCTCCACCAGCTTCAGTTTTTCCGCCGCTGGCATATCCTCTGAGGACAGGCACTCGACAATATTGTGTTGGATCTGTTCGATGGCCTGGGCCACGGCATGCCAGCGGTCCTCCAGCTGGGCATGGAACTGCCGCTGCAGCATCTCATCCGCAAGCGGAATAACCTGCAGAGCTTTCTCAAAGCTATGGCCGGCATCGTTGCGTACGTTGTTGTGCAGCTCGAACCGGGCCTTGATCTCCCAGAACTGACGCATATGCTCGATGGGCTGCTGCGTGGGCTGTGCCGGTATCTGAATGTGACGCAGCTCCTGCTCCGCCTCGCGCACGAAGGCCTCCAGCTTGTCGGTCTGCTGCTCGTACTGCACCCAGATCTCCTTGAAGACCAGCAGGCGGTGCAAGTACAGGGCCACCTCTTCGCGCAGCTTCAGTAGCACAATCAGCGCCTCGTTGGTTTCCTCGACCAGATTGGGCGCCTGCACCAGTTGCTGCAGTTTGTTGGCTATCCCCGAGAGCTGGGTCATCTTAACATAATGATGGGAGATGTCGTTGCTCAGGGACTGGTAGAGCGTCGTGTACTGGTCGTAGTCCGCCGATGTCACCGCCGACAGATCGGGCACACGCTGCTGGGCCACTTGCAGCCACTGCAACTCGTCGCGCATTCCCTTCTCCAGGACGGTCCAACGGGAGGCAGCCTGCACCAGCTTCGAAGATCGTTCGGAGGCCTTGTCCAGCAGCTGAGTGGCTCGGTTGTACAGCTCCTTGTGCAGGTCCGAATGCTTCTCCCGGGTCTCCGTGTCAATGTTCTCCTCGAGGGACTCCAGCATGGCGCGGCAGTGGCTCAGGTTCACAAAGAACTTTCGCTGTTTCTGCACTTCGTTGTTCAGCTGCTCCAAAGAACTGGACACAATGGGACACTCCACAAGTTTGTCGGCGAGCACCGTGATGTTGGTGAACTCCTTGAGGGTCTGTTCGTACTCCTCTGCCAAGGATTGCAGTTGGAGGAGACGCTCTCGTTCGGCCTGGATGTTGTTCCCAATGTTCTTGCTCGTCTCGAAGGCATTGTGTACATCCTGTGGCATCTTCTTGCCTGGGAAGTCGCGCTGGAAGGCTCGTGCATTCTGCAGGAGATGTCCCAGCTGCTGCTGGGCCTGCTCATGCTCCTGCTCCAGCTCGTCCAAGTGCGAGAGTTTGGCGGACAGCGGATACTCCTGATTGGTGACCATGTCGTATCGCTGCTGCAGCTGCACTAGGACTGTGGACACGTCATTCAGCAGCACCTCAAAGCTGTGCCACTTGTCCAGATCGTTGCTGTCCTGTGCCTGATTCTGCTGTGTCACCTGCTCCACGGCTTCGACATGCTCCTTGAGCGTGTCCACACACTGATGCAGCTCGGGCTCCTCTGTCTTCGACAGCTGCCTCTCAAGTTGGTTCACATTCTGCTTGATCGTGTGCAGCTCCTCGTTCAGCTGGTTGTAGTTGTCCAGCTTCTCCTCAGAGGGTCCCTCGTTGGAGTTCTGTCGGATGAGATACACGCGATACTCGATGGTCTCCAGCCAAGTCGAGACCATCTCAATGACCGTGATGACTGTCGTCTGTATGACCGTCTTGTCGCCGCTGTTCAGAGCCGCATCTAGATTCTGCAGACCTTCGTTAACCTCCTGAAGACGCTGCTCCGTGGGCAGCTCCATGATCTGCTCCGAAAGAGTGGCCAAGTGGAGAACATTGCTCAGGGGCGTCGTTGTCGTCGGCTGTTGTTGTGGTACCGCCTGTTTCAAGTGCTTAATACGATCCCCAATAGCCTCCTTGGTCTCCACCAAGATGTTGGCCTTCTGTTTCGGTTGTCCAGGATAATGCTGAAGGCTCTCGCTCATAATCAAAGCCTGTGAAAGATCCTGGGAAGGCGTATTTGGCTGGAACCAAATGCTGCTCTGCTGCTCGTTGAGGTTATCGGGCCCAGGGGTGATGGGCACCACCACCAGTTCTTCTGTGGGCGAGGATACCTCTTCGATGGTCACCGATGACGTGGGTCCCGCACCACTGCGCTCGCGTCCGGTCGTTCGGCTGCTCTGCTCTGCAATGCTCATCTTGTTCTGTTCGATTATGTGCACTGGTAGATCGGGATACTCATCGTACACCCGCGTTGTGGTGATCTGCAGCTGAACTCTTTGCGGTGGCTTCGCTGGCTCCCCTAACTCCACTGGGTCCACTTCTTCCGGTGCGACGTGTGGCACCTCTTCGATCTGCTGATTGGTGGACACCACAATCCCCGACTCGGACAGCAGTTCGGGTGCTATTTCAACAGTCACACTGATCTGTGGCTCCTCTGGCGGCTGCTGTTGCTGTTGCTGTGGCTGCTGCTGCTCCTGTTCCTTCTTTTGCTTCTTTTTCTTATCCTTCTTGGAGCGCTTCTCTGGTTTGGGCAGCTCCATGGTCTGCGTATACTCGTAGACCGTTGGCTCGGCCAGAGAGCCGGCATCCGAGTCTGCTGGTATCGCCACCGTGGTCTTCACCTCCAGTTCGTACGGTTCCGAAATGGAAATGGAGTTGGAGTCATCCAATGAAATGGGTTGTTGCTGCTGTTCCACCTCTCGAGGTGTTGTCGTCTGGGCCTCACCATCGGCTACCTGCACAAGTTCCAGCGTTGAGGTTGCCTCGTGCGCTGTCTCTGGCTTAACAGTTTCAGCCACCACCACTTCTGTGGGTTCGGGTGTGGTGGTCTGGACATGCATCTCCGTGGTCGTTGTGGTTTCTGTGAACGTTGACTGCTCTGTGGTGGGCACTGGCAGATCGATGGTCATCTCCTTGACCAAATCTTGGACAAGTGAAGGTACCACATCGTCACTGCCTGGCTCTCGCTGACGCGGTGATTCCCTGGGCGTTGTCTGCAGTTCCTTTTCAATGGTTGTGGTCACAGTGGTTTGACTGGAGATCTCCACTGTATCCGCCGGCTGGCCACTGACATCCGTTTGCATTTCAGCGGTGGATACCTCAACAACACGTTCATCGTCGCGTGGTGTTGTCTGTGCCTCAGTCTCGGCAATCTCAATGATCAGGGTTTGCGATTCCATCTCCTGGTTCTCGGGTTGGATCTCCAGACTCGTCTGCACTGACATCTCATCCAGTTTCGGTTGATGCTGTGGCGATGTCTGCACGGACTTGATGTCCTGCTCAATCTTCGCGGCTTCTACAGGCGTTGCGGCACGTGGTGTTGTCTGCTGTTCCTCATCCTCGACTAGTGAAAGTTCGACCACTTCTGTGGGTATTACCAGCTCTACGATGGGCGCACGTGGAGACTCTGAGGGCGGGGAGACGACTGCATCTTCCACAATCTTCACCGAGTCATGGGCTGTGTCAATGTCCATGCTGGACAGATCGCTATCTGCACTGATCTCCACAATCGATTCGTGGCGCACTTTGTCCTTGTCTTCGCGGGGTGAATCTTCTGGGGAAATCGGAGCCACTTCAGAGGTCTCCTTTGTGACGGACACTGGCTCTGGTTCGGTTTCTGCTTCTTGTTCTGGCTGATCCTCCTCCTGCTTTGTGTCTCTTCTCTTCTTTTTCTTTCGACGCCGCTTGGCATCGGCAGCAGGAGCTGCTGCAGCTGCAGCTGCCGTCTCAATGATGGTCATGCTAACCTTCGTGGCAGTCTGTCCTGGCTCTTCTTCGGTGCCCTTCGGCTCCTTGCCCATCACAACCTTGAGCACACCATCGCCATTATCCTCGATGGATGGCGCTGTAATCTGGTAGGACTTTTGTGGGGCCGTAGAAGCTGCTGCCTCGCCAGAGATGAACAGTTGTGTAGCCACACGTAGGTCCGTCTGTCCTGGTGCTACCTCCTTTTCCGGGGTATCGCCCGTTGGCTTAGCTGGTGCTGGCTCTTGGAGAGTGATTGCCACGCTTACCACTTCCGCTGGCTGCTGTTGGGGCTCGAGTATAGAAACTTCCGTAACTTCTGTGACTTCTGCGGTAGGTTCTACAGCTGTTTCTACTGCTGCGGAGGGTTCCTTTTCAGGCAATTGGATGATTGCTTCTGCAGGAACAACTGTCTCAACTTGAATGGTTGATGCTTCTTCTACTTTAGGTACGGTTTGCTGTTCCTTCAAGGCTCCGGCCAAAATCTTCTCAGCTTCCAGGAAACTCTCAATGTCAGTCTTTGACTTCGGAACTTCTGTCTGCGGTTCAGGCACCACATCCACAGGCGATTCCTTCGGCTGCTCCCCTGCTATGGTCACTGTTTCGATGGTCTTAATTATTTCAATACTGGCAGAGGTCTTGGGCTCTGGCTCTGGTTTAGTCTCTGGTTCTGTTTCAGGCTTTGTCTCAGTCTCAAGTTCTTTCTTTTCTGTGGGTGATTGTGGCTCGAATTCGTAGTTTTCCAGAGTTAAAGAGTTGCCTGTCTCTGGACTAGTGGGCCAAATGGTTTCCACAGGCATGGATTCTTCTCTGATTTCTGAAGTGATTGTCGCTTCTACCGGTGCTAGTGGCTCATGGTGCTGTGAAAAGTCAATGTTGGTGGCGTTCAAATGATGTTCCAATGGCCAAATTTCATGGATATTTTCCACCACAGGCTGAGATGATGTGATCTCTGTGGTTACATCTACGATATCTGGTAGATTGGCTGATGTTTCTGTTGTAGTTACATCTGCTGCTGCAACATTAACGATACTCATGGATGTAGTAGTAGTACTGTCAACATCTACTGGTTCTGCAACATCTACTTGAGAAGGTGCTGGCAACTCTACTGGTGCTGGTTCTTTGATCTTTGTTTCTGTAGGTGGTGTCTGTTGTTCTGGCTGTTGTATCTGTTCTGAATCTTGCGGTATCTGTACTTGTACTTGTTCTTGTGGTGTGGTTATTGTTTCTGTGGTGGAGGTGACGTGGGTAGACTCAATATCAAATACCTGTTGCGGCGATTCTGCAGCAACTTCTTCAATGATCACGCCCGGCTCTTGCAACATCCTTTGGAACTCCTCTTCGGTGACCGGTTTCCCATTGATTGTACGCACAATATTCACATTGATGTGAGGCGCCGACTCCTCTTCGGTAATCTCAATCTCCTCGGGCTCCTCAATCACCTCCTCGGTGATATGCTCCTTTCCATCGATGATCACCACTCGCTTGATTATCTTGCGCGTCTTGCGGATCACCTTGCGGGTCACCTGCTGCACAACAGCACGAATGGTACTGCTACCGCCAATGTCCGCCAAGTGTCCTTCTGATCCAGGACCACCCACAATCTCTTCGTACGTCTCAATGGTTGGTTCTGTTTCAAATTCCTGAACAGTTACCGCCTCGGGTTGGGAGGCATCTACAACGGCGCCACGCGTTTGCTGCGTGACAACGGTGCGGTAGCTTCCCTCCTGTGGATCCGCACTGGTGTCTGTCGTCTGCACATTCTCCAGATTGATCTGTCCCGTCGAATGCACTTCAATGTTGCCATCCGAGTCGCTTACAGTCTCGATCGAGCTGATCTGCTGCTGCTGTACAATCTGCTGGCGCGTACGCGTGACCTTCTTCAAAACGATATGCTTGGTGCCATCGGGTCCCACAATCACCTCTGTGGTGGTCTCATCTGGCTCCACGAATGTGGTCTCAAATGCCTGTGGGACATTCTTCAGGATCAGCTCGGTGGCACGTTCCACATCGCCCTGGGGTCGCTGATGGTAGCGGGCCTCAATCTGCACATCTTCGGGACTGTCGGGTATATCCTTATTCAGGGTCGTGTCAATCTGTATGGTTGCCTGGCCATCCTGAATCGTTTGCGTCACCATTATGTTCTCGGTGGGTGTACGTTCCTTTTGCGTTTGCTGGGCAACCTCAGCGGTTTCCACTGCCAAGGGCTGCTCCTTGAAGCTGGTCTGCGCCTCCACAGTGCTGGTTGCCACCTGGATAGGTGCCAGCGGCTGCTGCAGGCTAAACGATGTTTGCGTCTCCACATATACCCCACCACTCGGTTTGACCTCTTCTTCGGGCATTGAGGTCGAATCAATTGTATTCTCATTGGACTCTATTGATTCGTGTGACTCAATCTGGGTCGGGGGCTGTATCATGGCATCGGCCTGCACTCGCTGTCGCTGGGCCTCGTCGCTCTTGGCCTTGCGCAGGTCCACAATGCGCTTCTCGATGGTGAAAATCCTTGTGGTGGCCACTGTGATCTGTTCGCGTAGAATGATTAGAATGCTCTGCAGTTGCTCCATTAAAGTATCGGCCAGGGGGGCCACATCGGCCTGCGACTGCAGCTGTCGCGTCTGTTCCAACAGATCGTCCATGGACTGCTGGCGTTCCTTGAGAGTGCGCAACAATTGCTGGCTGCGTTCCACCTGCGACTTGAGCACCTGCTCATCGGTGCTGCTGTCCGGTGTGGTCTCAAAGGATGCCAATTCAGCGGTTACCTCGTTGATCCATTGCTCTAGCTCCAGCAAATGCTGCTGGTACTGATCGATGTCCTGCTGCCGCTTCTTCTGCCCATGCATAGCATTCTAAAATACATACAATTTAGAAACCAGTAAAGATGTGACGTGGGGGTTACTTACGGCTATCATGGTGATGCCTTGTTGGGTACGACGTAGTAGCAAATCAACGCGATCTACGACTTCGTTCAGTATGCGTTCAGTTCCAGGATCTGTGGGCAACTTCTTGGCCTGGTCTTTGAGCTGGCGGGCGTTCCTTTCGTGTACTTCCAGATTCTTTTGGATTAGCTATTAGCATCAGGGAATTGAAAATAGTTATTTCAGGTTCATTTGTTTTGATAGGAAAATAGTAGAGAATATTCTTGAAACAGTGTATAATCCTACAGAACAATCAAAAAGGTTCGACTTCTACAAAAAAAACTGGACAACACTAAAGGTATTCCTCTGACAGACACTTTTCTTCTGTTCTAAACCAAATTGTACGATTCTGTATGGAATGATGCGCGAATGAGTTATTAATAATCATCATACGCCATACGACACTAGCATCCAATAATCGTTTACAAAAAGTTATGTACAGGTTCAGGTTAAGTGAGTTCTTATATAGGAAAACTCTATCTTCTACGGTTGTTATTGTCGAACATGCCTTGTCGTCGAGCATTCAAAAACGTGTTTGTTTGTTTGTTAGATATGGCTGGAGATGTCATTATATTACCTTTAGTCCCTGTAGCATGCCTTCCAGGCTGCTCTGGCTCATGTTTGCGATGCCATCCTCGACACTTGACAGCGATTGTAGCAGTTCGTCGAGATCTTGGTCAAATGCCTCCTATAATATTCGAAATTGTGCCGCAAATTGGGTTGAGGGTTGTGCGGGGTAGAAAGTTTGTGTTATTTTATTAATAAACATGGCAATCATTTTGAAGATATTTTTTGCTAAGGCATGGTTTTGTTTTTGTTTTAACTGTAAATATATTTGTTGCCGGCTTCTATACACATACAACATATTTACAGACATACATATATATTAAAGTAAAATTCAAAATGGATGCAATGCATACAGCCATACGAAAAAAATGGTATTGGATTCGGGGAAATGCTCATAGTAAATGCTTTTCAAAATAGTAACTCTATTCAGCTCTTAGATTTAGACTTGGTAGCACATGCATTTGGCATAAATAATTATCTTAGTTTTATGTAGAATATATGTAGTATATGTTATTTTTAGGCTGCATATTTGATGAGAGAAGGCGTATAGACACAAGTACCAAAAAGCCTTATTTCTTATGTCCTTAATTCAAGTTGAAGAAGAAAATTATATGAAAAAATGGAAATTAAACTTACATTCGCTTTTTTTTTTTAAATAGAATAAAATTAAAGTATAGATCTCCTCGGCACACTTTGATTTATTTTATAATCTATAGCTTGGGTTTACGTTCTATTCTATTCTGAATGAACTAGACACACACTTTTGCACTAGTATCAGTAGGATTTTTTGGGAATTCTTGAAATTTTATATATTTGCCGATTTTTTCAGCGCCGTTCATTGCACATTGGATACGCGGTAGAGACTAAAACTTTTGAAATAAACGGGAAAGAAAGGCTATTTTTGAGCAAACTAAAACGGAGCTGGGGGCTGGGGTCCGCACTGCACCGCACCGCATGGATCGTATGGGATCGGTTGATGGGTATATATTTATAGCATAAACGGAACGCCTGCAGGGAACGATTGCATTGCAAATTCTTGATATGTTCAACGTGGGACAGCAGCAGGGCGATAGCAAGGCAATGAACTCGTACTATATACATACGTACATACATAAATATATGGACATATGTATGTTCGGCATTGGAAATACTGTATTGTGCGCGTGCACGCACTTTTGTGTGCCACTGTCCGTGGTGGGGGGAGGGAGTAGTGCTGCGTGAAAAGAGAGGAGTGCGTGCTCGGTGCATGATTTTGTGTGTGTTCATGTGTGTGTGGAAGAAATATCTGCGAAGAAAACTACATACGGGATATACGCATAGAGATCAAAGATCATAGAGATCTCATCAGCTCAATATTAAAACGTGCATGTTGGTTAATATAGATTTTATTTTTAATAATTACTACCATTAGTAGTCACTGATTACTGGGCGTTTTACAATATGTTAATATCAAATTAGTAAAAGGAACTTAACGAATGCAATTCAATTCTATAAATTTTCATACATACGAGTACATACAATCTACGGGTTATTGATGGTGCCTTTTTATTAGGAACTACAATTACTATATTTAAGTGGTATATAAACTCAAAAAATAAGGCTTTTGGATGCATTTTTAGCAGAACAACAACACATACAATACAAATAAAAATAAAAATGAAAGAAAAATAAAACTTAAAACATAAAAAGGAAAAAACATTTTTTTTTTTAATTTTACGTTAGTATGTTGTTGGGAAATTGCATTTTATTGCTATGGAAGTGGCAGAAATCCAGAACCACCGCACACTCAGATATGGGACACATACTATTGTGGTTCAGTGTGTATGTGGCATGTGTGGTTCTGGTTGCTGCCACAACAGCAACAACAGCGATTGCCATATAAAAGCCATGAACAAATACCGAAACCACATAGAAAAGCTGCAAATATTAGAATTATGAATAAACGAAGGCTTAATGTGATGTTCACCTTCTGGCGTTGTTGTGGATCGTTGCTGGTGTTGTCGGTTGTGGTTGTTGTTGTCGTTGTCGTGCTGCCGCTTGTTGTCGTTGGTGTTTCAACGGTTTTGGTTGTTGTCGTTACGGTTGTGGTAGTTGTTGTGGTACGCTTAAGGACATTCGTATCATCCGAATCATCCTTGAAGCTCGTGGAGGTTGAGGTCGCTGTTTCGGTTGCAACTTCTGCAGGCGCCTCAACAGCAACTACAATTGCTGTTTTCTCTGGCACCTCCTGCTGAGGTTGTGCTGCCTCTGCCTCTGCTGCTGCTGCTGTAGCTATTGCTGGTGTTGGTGTCTCCTCTGGTGTTGTTGTCGTCGTAAGCTTATCGATTACGGCCTTGGCTACTGGCAGTAGAGCATTGGTTGCCACCAGTGCTGTTGCCTGTGCCGCTGCGGCTGCCGCATTCGCCTTAGCGGACAGCGTGTGAGTTGTGGCGCTTGCCAATTGGATTAGTGCGTTTGCTGTAGCTATGTGGGGACTGGGACTGCTGGGGCTTGTTTCAGGGGCGGGGACTGGGATGGTTGAGCTTGTGGGGTCAATGGTTTTAGTTTCGGTTAGTACGAACACACCTTCCTCTTTGATTGGTGATGATTCAACAACATCCACTCCTAATTTTACCTGAGGCTTCTTCTGATCGGCTTCTAAAGCCAAATAAGTACTCTGATCCCGCCAATGACCTACACCACCCGGTAAATCGGTCGACATATACTCCGATGAGCAGCTGCGATTATTCTGTTCGTACTGATCGTGTTCGGGGGTCGGCGTTGCATTACCACTACTTCCGCCGCTACCAGGATCTCTTCTATCGTTCGATTTATCATCGTCGTCGTTCGGCTTGCGTATTTCGGGCACAGTCGGCTTATCCCCGTCATCGTCATCATCATCGTCCTCGTCATCGTCCTCGTCATCGTCATCGTCATTGTCCTTCTTCTTGTCCGTTTTGTCAGTCACATCATCATCGGGTTTCTTGTCTTTGTCGAGTTCCGCCTCGGGGCTGGCAACATCAGCACGTTTCAATCTCTCAATAGTGTCCTCGACTAAATCTGCATTGACGCCAGCTGATTGCCAATCGTCCAGATACAGATTAAGCCGCAACTGGTCGAAATTGCCACTGCTCGGTGTTGGTGCTGCTGCTACTGCCTGTTCCGTGACGGTGGTAGGAATGATTGGTAATGGCGATGATGCTTCTGGTTCTTCAGTCTTATCTACAACATGATCAGCCATCAATTTGCTTGACTCTGTAATCTTGGTCGTGCTTGTCACTACAGTTTCTGTAATGATGTCAGTCTTATGCTTATCGTCTTGAGTTTTTTCCTGAGCTTTTTCCGTCGTTGTTGTTGTCGTGGTCGTGTCTGTGGAGGTCTTAGGCAATACCAACGCATAAGCGTCTTCTGCCTGTAGTAGTTTATGGTGTTGGATTAGTTTAACGAAATTATCCTGGCTAAGATGCCAGAGAAGATCGCCGGGGCTGCTGCTAGTCAATGTCTGGGGGGTAATCTCAACAGAAGATTCTACAGAAACTGTTTCTACGACGAGGGGTTCTTCGACCTTAGTTATTTCTATTATCTTTGTTTCCTCAACTATTTGTTCGGCTGGTTTTTCGATTGAAAGCAAATGCAACTGGCTAATGGAATCGATTGCTTTGGGGGTTTGGGACAACAGATTTTCCTGATCAAGATATAAATTGAAAGCAAGGATTTCTGAATTGATTTGGGGTATTGTTTCGGGTTCAATTATCACATAATCTTCTATCAATACTTCCTCTTCCTTGGCAATATCTGGCTCTTCAACTAATGTTGGTTTCTGGGGAATGGTTTCGACTTGCAACACTTGGTACTGCCCCTCCAATAGCTCGTATTGGGGATGCAATTTTATTGCTTCGCCATACAAATGTTCAGCGAGTATTTCCAAACTGTTTTGAGGCTTGACAGGTTCAATCAGATCAACTGTTTGGGCCTCGATCAATTTGCTGTCTGGAGTTGCTGGTTTACTAACCGATTGTGGTTGAGGTTCTACAATTTCTACAATTGTTGGTTCCTCTGTTGGTTCTGCCACTGGAATGCTTTCTACCTGCAACTGTTGGTAGTATTGTCCCTCCAATATGTCATATCGGGGATGCAATTTGGTTCCATCGCGATATAGATTCTCGGTGAGTGTCTCCAAGGTATTTTTGGGTGCAAGTTCTATTGTTTTGGTGTTAATTACAATCGATTCTGGTTCAATAGTCAACTCATTTGTATGTGTGGTTACCACCGTGGATACATATGATGTTGTTTCCGGTTCGGCCTTCTGCATATCCTCTACAATTGGTGCATCCTTATGCGTGGTTACTGTCGTTGTCACATAGGTGGTTGTCGTTGTAGTCACATTCTCCGTCTGCTCCACATCGATTTGGGATTTGGGCTCCTGGAAATCTGTGGTTTTGCTCACTACAACAGTGGACCAAGCAGCCGGCGACTTTGTTTCCTCTTCCTTTTGTTGGTTTTCTGGTGCTGGGAAAACAGTCGTTTCGGTTTGAACAATCGCTGACCAGGTTGTTGGTTGATCAGTCGGTGATTGTACTGCCACCTCCTCCAAAACATCTTCTTCAATTGGTATGCTAACGCTGATGGGTTTATGGGTTTCCTCAACATCAGTCTTCACTGTCTCTGTTGTTTCAGTCGTTATTGTGGTTGTGGTTGTAGTTGTTGGCTTTTGTCCGGGTTTCAGTGTGGCAGACCAGTAGGAAGTTTCACAAATGAAATGATCGGTATCGGATGGCGATTGACTGGGTTCCGCAACGGGTGCAAATGGTGCTAGAGGCGTTTGCTTATGTTCTGGTTCAGCAGCCACAATGACAGTTTCAACGGTTTCAGTGAAAGTTTCAATTGGAACTGGAGTAGGCTCAGCTTTCACATCTTTCGCAGCTATTACAATAGTTTCAACTGGTGCAGTGGTTTCAACAGGCTCATCTTCGACTTCAACAGTCTCTGATATATCTTCAAATGGTGCCAAAGGTGTCTGTTCTGGGGCTGGTTCTAATGCCTCAATGACAGCTGCAACAGTTTCAGTGATACTTTCAACTGGAACTGCAGCAGTCCCGGTTTCGACCTCTTTCACAGTTTCTACAATTGTTTCAACTGTTATAGTGGTCTCCTTTGAGGACTGAGCTGGTTTAACAATCTCCTCAACTGTTTTTGATACATCTTCAAACTGTGCCAAAGGTGTCTGTTCTGGTGCTGGTTCTGATGTCACAATGACAGTTTCAACAGTTTCAACAGTTTCAGTGATACTTTCAACTGGAACTGTAGCAGTCTCGTTTTCGACCTCTTTCACAGTTTCTACTATTGTTTCAACTGTTACAGTGGTCTCTTTTGGGGACTGAGCTGGTTCAACAATCTCCTCAACTGTCTTTGATACATCTTCAAACGGTGCCAGAGGTGTCTGTTCTGGTTCCTCAACTACAGTCTCAATTGTAACTTTGGGTTCAACTGATGGTTTCACGTAAATTTCCTTAACCGTCTCTACAATAGTTTCAACCTTGTCTGTTGGAACTTCCACTTCTTTGACAGTCTCTACTGTGACATCCACAGGCTCAGCAATCACTTCAAAAGGCGCTAATGGGGTTTCTTTCGATGGAACATCACGAGCTTTAATTTCCCGAACTATTGAAGTGGTCTCAATAACCGTTTCGATGGAGCTCAAAGGTGTGGACTCCATGGATTCCAGTGAAGTATCTGGTGATGTCTCGACGAAAGGTGCCAAAGTTGTTTTTTGGGACTTTTCGGCATTGATGAAATCAACAATTTCACTGCTAGGAGACTTCTTCTTCGATTTCTGCTTGGGTTTCTTAGTTTTTGGCTCTGATGTTTCTAAAGTGATTGGAATGCTGACCTTGTGCTCCTTCGGTGGCGTTCTGGAGTCTTCAACAATTATGGACTTGGTTTCAATTTGAAGCGGACGTATTTGTTGTGCAGGTTCTGGAACATTGTGGGCGGCTATGGCTGCCCACGACATACCAGAAGTGTAGGGAGAAGGAGCGGGTGTTTCCTCAACACGAACCGAAACGGTAGGCTCCACTACCTTAGGTGGCTCTGTGGGTGTTTGAGTTTGAGGTGGTGCAGGTTTCTTCTCTTTGGGTTTCTTCGATTTCTTCTTTTGAGGCTTCTCGTCCACGTTCGAGATCTGTGATTGTTGAGAACGAGAACGCGAGCGATTCCTCTTCTTAGAAATAATCTCCAAGAAGCCTTGCTCAATCTCTGGCTGTTTCTGGGGCTCCATAAATGTTACCTCCTCAGTGACCTTTATCGTTGGTCGCGAACGTCTTTCAGGTACTGGTTCCTCTTGATACCATGGCTCTGCGGGCTGCACATCATCATCATCATCGTCATCAATGAGCTCCCGCCAAGACAGTTGTGATGGCTTTTCGGTGTATTCTACATCTACATCTGAATTTACAATCGGAGGAATAATGGGATCTGGGAACTCCACAATAGTTTCTTGCGGCTCTTCGGGGGTTGCAGATTTCTTTGCAGCAGCCATTTCTCTTTCGGTATCCTGATACCTAATGTTCGTATTCTTGGTATAGCCTGATTTCCTAACTACTTCGGCGTAGGTCTCTGATGAGGACCATACTGACGGCTTCGCGAGCGTCGGGAGCTGAATATTGAACTCTGGCGTTGTGGCTCCTGAAGAACGTTCATTTTCTGGCGCCTTTTCATCAGCAACAATGGGGGCTTCTACAATTTGTTGCACTAGCTCTGCCTTGGGTAGTTTCTTCTCCTTTTTGGGTTTTTGCTTCTTGGGCTTTTCTTCAACATACGTTGGTAGCTCCTGTTCTTGATGGATGATATCCTGTGGAACTATTTGTGTAGTTTCAGGCACATGCGTTTCAGTGAATGTTGGAGTCAAGTCTATGTTATGCGAAACAATCGAAGACCAGGACAAGGTTTGTGTTGCTTCAGGAACTGGTGCTGTTTGTGTTAATTCAGGAACTCTCGCTGGCTGCTCTGCATCCCGGTTCTTCTCAAATATTACTTCAGTCACTTCAACAGCAGGCTTTGAAATTGGTTCCACCTTTGCCGTTTTCTTTTCCTTCTTGGGCTTTTGTTTCTTGGGCTCTTCATTTACAACGGTCGAGAAGTTCTGCTCCTGAGAGATGAAATTCTGAATGGCCTGCGACTTCGGCGACTTCTGTAAAGTTTCAGTCACCGTAGTGGTTACATCAGTTGTTGTTTGCGAGACAATCGACGACCATGACATGCCCCGATCTGTAGTTGGAATTGGTTGTGGTTCTGGTTCCTTCTCCGTTAATGTTTCTGCAGAAACTGGTTCTTGAACCGCAATAACTTCAACAACGGGTTCCTGAACAACTTCAACCTTGACAGATTTCTTTTCCTTCTTGGACTTTGGTTTCTTTATCTTCTCGTCCGTTGAAGGGACGAGTTTCTGTTCATGGGAGATAAAGTCCTGACTGTCGAGGGGTTTGGCTTTAGTTTCCGATGTTTTAGTAACACGTGTTTCGGGTATAAGCGGAGATGTTTCTACAGTCTGCGAAACAATAGTGGACCATGACATGGTTTGGGATGGCACAACTTCAGGAACTGATGGCGTTGGTTTTTCACCAATTACATCTTCACGTTCCGCCATTGGAATGATTTCTTCAAAACCTGGTTGTGGAATAGAAATCGCCTCAACAATAGGTTCCGGAGTCGGGTCCGTCTTGGGTTTCTTCTCTTTCTTTGTCTTCTGTTTCTTTGGCTTTTCCTCCACTAATGGTATGGATTTCTGTTCTTCAGTCTGATGTTTGACTTCAGGTTCTTTAGAGACAGGAGTATCGGGAATGTTTGAAGTTATTTCTGTTGTTTGGGAAACAATAGAGGACCATGACAGCGATTGTGATTGCGAAACATCTGGCACTGAAGGCATTGGTTCTAAAACATTAGTCACCACTTCAACAACAGATTCCTGAATGGGTTCCGTCTTGGGCGTCTTCTTTTCCTTCTTGGACTTCTGTTTCTGATGTTTGTCGTTGACAACAGTTGAGAAGATCTGCTCCTGGGCAATAAAGTCCACAATATCTTTTGCTTTTGACGATTCAGTGACAATGGTTTCAGTTGCGGTAGGAGTTACTTCTGTGGCCTGCGAGACGATGGACGACCATGACAGGGTCTGAGGTGGTGAAACATCTGGAACTGAAGGCAGGTAGGTAGGTAGTTCCTCTACAACTACAGATTCCGGTTCCGTCGCTGGAATGATCTCTGCAACAATAGGCTCTGAAACAAAAGTAACCTCGACAACAGGTTCTTCGATAGTCACGACTTCCACAATAGGTTCCGGAGTCGGATCTGTCTTAGGCTTCTTTTCCTTCTTTGGCTTTTGTTTCTTGTGCTTTTCTTCCATTGATGGTATGGATTTTGGTTCTTCGAGTTGAGGTTTGGCTTCAGTTTCTTCAGTGACATGAGTTTCGGTGATGGTTGTTGTCACATCCGTAGTTTGGGAAACAATAGACGACCATGACAAGGTTTGTGATGGTGCAACTTCTGGTACTGACGGGGTGGGCTCCTCAATAATCACCGATTCTGGTTCCGTCACTGGAATGGCATCATCTACAATTGCCTCTGGAACAAAGGTCACCTCTACAACAGGCTCTTCGACGGCAACCACTTCAAAAGTAGATTCTTGAGTCAGCTCTGTTTTGGGTTTCTTTTCCTTCTTTGACTTTTGTTTCTTTGGCTTGCCATTTACAGAAGTTGAGTTCTGTTCCTGTGATATGAACTCCTGAATAACTTGAGTTTTTGGCGTTAATTCGGATTCTTCAGTGACAAAAGTCTCGAGGATTGTTGGAGCTACTTCTACGGTTTCCGTGACAATAGACGACCATGATGAAAAGGTATGTGATGGCAGAGCCTCTGTCACAGACGTAATAGGTTCATCAACAATTGCAGGTTCTGCTTTTGTCACTGAAACGATATCTTCAACAACAGGTTCAGGAACAAACGTCACTTCAACAACAGGTTCTTGAACAGGTTCCGTCTTAAGGAACTTAATTTCCTTCTTGGACTTTTGTTTTTTGGGTTTCTGGTCCACATGTTCCTGTTTGGGTTCCTGTTCTGGCAGACGGGTTTCAGTATCAGTTGATTTGTTGACGCGAGTTTCGATTATGGTTGGAGTATCTTCGATAGTTTGCGATACGATCGACGACCAAGATAAGTTTAGTGAAGGAACTACGTCTGGCACTGAAATAGATGGCTCCGTTTCTGGAATGAGATCTTCTACAATGAGTTCTGTCACAGCTGTCACCACTTCAACAATCGGATCCGCTCTGAGGGATTTCTTTTCCTTCTTTGACTTTTTCTTATTTTCGCCATTCACAACAGTTGAGAAGTTTTGTTCCTGTGCGATAAAGTCTAGGACCTCTTTGGATTTTACAGTGACTTCCGGCTCTTCATTCTCAATGGTTTCAGTCTGCGAGACAATGGACGACCATGACAGGGTTTGCGAAGGCGGTGAAATAGGCTCTTCAACTGTGGTTACTTCAACAACAGGCACTTCAACGGTAAAAACATCCTCAACAAGTTTTGTAATCGGTTCCGTCTTGGGTTTCTTTTCCTTCTTTGACTTTTGTTTCTTTGTCTTTTCTTCCACTGATGGTAAGGATTTCTGTTCTTGATGCTCAGGTTTAGTTTCAGGTTCTTCAGTGACATGAGTTTCTGTGATGGTTGTCGTTACATCTGTTGTTTGGGAAACAATAGAGGACCATGACAGGGTTTGTGATGGTGTAACTTCAGGAACTGAAGGCGTTGGTTCCGCCTCTACAATTAGTTCCTCTATAGCAGGTTCTGCAACACTAATCACAACGTCAACAACTGGTTCCTGAATGGGTTCCGTTTTGGTAGTCTTCTTTTCCTTCTTTGACTTTTGTTTTTTATGTTTGTCGTTGACAACAGTTGAGAAGATCTGCTCCTGGGCAATAAAGTCCACAATGTCTTGTGTTTTTGACGATTCAGTGACAATGGTTTCAGTTGGGGTTCGAGTTACTTCTGGGGTCTGCGAGACGATGGATGACCATGACAGGGTCTGAGGTAGTGAAACTTCTGGCACTGAAACAATGGGTACCTCTACAACTACAGGTTCCGATTCCGTTACTGGAATGACTTCTTCAATAACAGGCTCTGGAACAATAGTCACTTCAACAACAGGGTCTTTGAAAGTCACGGCTTCCACAATAGCTTCTGGAGTCGGCTCTGTCTTGGGTTTCTTTTCTTTCTTTGACTTTTGTTTCCTTGGCTTTTCCTCCACTGATGGTTCGGATTTCTGTTCTTGATGTTTGACTTGCGGTTCTTGAGGGACATGAGTTTTGTGGACAGTCGTTGCTACATCCGTAGTCTGCGATACAATAGACGACCATGACAATGTTTGCGATGGTACATCTTCTGGTACTGCAGAGGTTGGTTCTTCAACAATCACAGGTTCCGGCTCCAACGCTGGAATGACTTCATCACTAACGGGCTCTGGAACAAAAGTCACTGCAATAACAGGCTCTCCGATAGTCACGACTTCAGCCTTAGATTCTAGAGTCTGTTCTGCCTTGGAGGATTTCTTTTCCTTCTTGGACTTTTGCTTCTTTGGCTTTTCCTCCACTGGTGGTATGGATTTGTGTTCTTGATGCTCAGGTTTAGTTTCAGGTTCTGACATGACATGAGTTTCTGTGATGGTTGTAGTTACATCTGTTTTTTGGGAAACGATAGACGACCATAACAGGGTCTGTGATGGTTCTTCAATAACTACAGGTTTCTTTTCAGTCTCTATCATAACTTCCTCAACAACAGGTTCAGACGGAATAGTTGCCACGTCAACAATAGGTTCCGAAATAGTTTGAACTTCAACAATTGGTTCCGATTTGGGATATTTCTTTTCCTTCTTTGACTTTGGCTTCTTCTGCTTACTGTTCACAGCGGTGGAGAAGTTCTGTTCTTGGGCGATAAAGTCCTGGATATCTGGAGATTTTTTGGCATTGACACGAGTTTCATTTATAGTTGGTGTCACTTCTACTGACTGCGAGACGATAGATGACCAAGACAAAGGTGCTTGAGATGTTGGGGCTGCAACTGAAGTAGGTTGTTCTTCAAGAACTCCTGGCTCTTTCCCGGTCACAATATCTTCTACAAGTACCACTTCAACCATATGTTCAGTGTCAGAAACGATTTCAACAACAGGTTCTTCAACATGTTCGATCTTAGTAGATTTCTTCTCTTTCTTTGACTTTTGTTTTTTGGGTTTTTCATCGACAGGTAATGTGGGCTTCTGTTCTTGTATTTGAGTTTCAGTGATGGTTGGAGTACCTTCGACAGTTTGGGAAACAATCGATGACCATGACATGGTTTTCGAGGTAGTTATATCGGGAGCAGGAACTGACGGTTCAATCGAAACTACGGGTTCTTGTTCTGTGAAAATTTGCTCAACAACTGGTTCATAAATTGCAGGAACCACTTCAACAATTGGCTCCGGCTTCGATTTCTTTTCCTTCTTTGCCTTTTGTTTCTTTGTTTTGTCAATCGTAACGTCCGAATTCTGTTCATGGGAAATGAAATCCTGAATGTCTTGAGATTGTGGAGCTATTATTGGAGCAACTATCGACGACCATGAGGATAATTGTGAAGGACCGTCTGCTGTGGTAGATTTTATGTCTTCAACGATTACGACTTGCGGTTCTATTTTTGATTTCACAGGTTCAGCCATTGTAACTGATTTTGTCACCTTTCTTTCTTTTCTTGGCTGTTGATGTGGTTTCGCAGGAACAGTTTCATCTTCATCTTCGGTGTTGGAGCTTTGTTGCGTTATCTTCGTGAAGGGTTCCTGTACCCCTTGTCGCACGATCGAAGACCATAATGCATTACTGGTCTGCGGAAGATTCGGTTCTATAATTTCACTTCTATCTTCATCAACCATTGCTGACCAGGATACAGTACTCTCCATTGATTTGGTTTCAACGAACTCGGGTATTTCAGTTTCAACAACAAGAAGTTCAACCTCATTTTCCTTAACATTATTGGGCTGTTTTTTCTGTGGCTTTTCCTTCTTTGCTTTTGTCTTTTTGGGAATATCCTCAACAATTTTAGTTGTTTCTGTGTTCTTGGTTGATTTAGGCTCAATTTCGACGTGCACATTTTTCTTCTCCAAGTCAATAAAATCGACAGTGTGCCTCAGAACATCAGCATAAGATGAATGCAGTTCCCAAACATTTTGCACAACAGGTTGTGCCACAGGTGGGGATGTTTTCGGCTGAACGATTTCCTGCTTCGGTTCATCCAAAGTATTAGCCTTACGAGTGGTATCAGTTTTGGTCACAACTGTTGTAGTAATGACTGAAGTTATTGTCGTGGAATCTTCAACCACTGGCGTTTCCACAATTCGCTCTGGTTTGACCTCCTCGATAATAGTCACAGACTTGGTAACTTCGACGTCAGGAACATCCTTTTGTGGCATAGGAATGGTAGAGACGGTTGTGGTTGTCTTGGACTCTTCAACCACTGGTGATTTAACAATTGGCTCGGGTTTGACCTCCTCGACAATAGTTACTGACTTGGTAACTTCGACGACAGGAACGTCCTTTTGTGGGTCAGGGACAGCTTCCTCTTCGTCATCGGAGAAGTTCATGGGTTCGTCCAGGACGTCCATCCATGAGCTAGATGAGTCGTCAACAGGCAAGCCGGCGTATGCTGGTTTCTTTGGCTGTTCTGACAATTTTATGGTTTCCGGCTGTTGAGGTTCTTCAGGTATGGACGTTTCGTTAGCTGTTTCGGATTCAGTTACAGTGGTTGTGGTAGTAACGGTTGTGATGGTCTTAGACTCTTCAACCACTGCAGCTTCAATAATTGGCTCTGGTTTGACCTCCTCGACAATAGTCACATCGACGACAGGAACATCCTTTTGTGGCTCAGGAATGTTAGTGACGGTTGTGATGGTCTTAGAATCTTCAACCACAGGAGCTTCAACAACTGGCTCTGGTTTGACCTCCTCGACAATGTTCAATGACTTGGTAACTTCGACGACAGGAACGTCCTTTTGTGGCTCAGGGACAGCTTCTTCTTCGTCATCGGAGAAGTTCATGGGTTCGTCCAGGACGTCCATCCATGAGCTAGATGAGTCGTCAACAGGCAAGCCGGCGTATGCTGGTTTCTTTGGCTGTTCTGGCAATTTCATGGTTTCCGGCTGTTGAGGTTCTTCAGGTATGGACGTTTCGTTTGCTGTTTCGGTTTCAGTTACAGTGGTTGTGGTAGTGACGGTTGTGATGGTCTTGGACTCTTCAACCACTGCAGGTCCAATAATTGGCTCTGGTTTGACCTCCTCGACAATAGTCACCGACTGGGTAAGTTCGACGACAGGAACATCCTTTTGTGGCTCAGGAATGTTAGTGACGGTTGTGATGGTCTTGGAATCTTCAACCACAGGAGCTTCAACAACTGGCTCTGGTTTGACCTCCTCGACAATGGTCACTGACTTGGTAACTTCGACGAGAGGAACGTCCTTTTGTGGCTCAGGGACAGCTTCCTCTTCGTCATCGGAGAAGTTCATGGGTTCGTCCAGGACGTCCATCCATGAGCTAGATGAGTCGTCAACAGGCAAGCCGGCGTATGCTGGTTTCTTCGGCTGTTCTGGCAATCTCATAGTTTCCGGCTGTTGAGGTTCTTCAGGTATGGACGTTTCGTTAGCTGTTTCGGTTTCAGTTACAGAGGTTGTGGTAGTAACGGTTGTGATGGTCTTGGACTCTTCAACCACTGCAGCTCCAATAATTGGCTCTGGTTTCACCTCCTCGACAATAGTCACCGACTGGGTAACTTCGACGACAGGAACATCTTTTTGTGGCTCAATAATGGTAGTGACGGTTGTGATAGTCTTGGAATCTTCAACCACAGGAGCTTCAACAACTGGCTCTGGTTTGACCTCCTCGACAATGGTCACTGAGTTGGTAACTTCGTCGACAGGAACGACCTTTTGTGGTTCAGGGACAGCTTCCTCTTCGTCATCGGAGAAGTTCATGGGTTCGTCCAGGACGTCCATCCATGAGCTAGATGAGTCGTCAACAGGCAAGCCGGCGTATGCTGGCTTCTTTGGCTGTTCTGGCAATTTCCTGGGTTCCGGCTGTTGAGGTTCTTCAGGTATGGACGTTTCGTTAGCTGTTTCGGTTTCAGTTACAGTGGTTGTGGTAGTAACGGTTTTGATGGTCTTGGATTCTTCAACCACTGCAGCTTCATTAATTGGCTCTGGTTTGACCTCCTCAACAATAGTCACTGACTTGGTAACTTCGACGACAGGAACGTCCTTTTGTGGCTCAGCGACAGCTTCCTCTTCGTCATCGGAGAAGTTCATGGGTTCGTCCAGGACGTCCATCCATGAGCTAGATGAGTCGTCAACAGGCAATCCGGCGTATGCTGGTTTCTTTGGCTGTTCTGGCAATTTCATGGGTTCCGGCTGTTGAGGTTCTTCAGGTATGGACGTTTCGTTAGCTGCTTCGGTTTCAGTTACAGTGGTTGTGGTAGTAACGATTTTGATGGTCTTGGTCTCGTCAACCACTGCAGCTTCATTAATTGGCTCTGGTTTGACCTCCTCGACAATAGTCACCGACTGGGTAACTTCGACGACAGGAACATCCTTTTGTGGCTCAGGAATGGTAGTGACGGTTGTGATGGTCTTGGAATCTTCAACCACAGGAGCTTCAACAACTGGCTCTGGTTTGACCTCCTCGACAATGGTCACTGACTTGATAACTTCGACGACAGGATCGTCCTTTTGTGGCTCAGGGACAGCTTCCTCTTCGTCATCGGAGAAGTTCATGGGTTCGTCCAGGACGTCCATCCATGAGCTAGATGAGTCGTCAACAGGCAAGCCGGCGTATGCCGGTTTCTTCGGCTGCTCTGTGAGCATCATGGGTTCCGGCTGTTGAGGCTCTTCAGGAATAGACACTACGCTAGCTGTTTCGGTTTCAGTTACAGTAGTTGTGGTAGTAACGGTTGTGACTGTCTTAGTATTTTCAATGACAGCCTCAGACGTCGGTATTGGTTGAGCCTTCTCTACAACTTTTACTGTTTCCGTGACCTCCTTGATGACAGAATCGTTGACTGGTTGTGTTGGCTTCAACTCTGCGCTGTGAATTTTATCGGTAAGAGATTTCATTTCTTGTATTGTGTCGATAATCGTGTTTATGTTTGCTTCTTCGCCATTTTCAGCCAGAAGTGGGATTTCAACTTCATCCTCTATCAATTCTTTCCACGATTTGTGTTCAACAATCACGTCTTCGGGCCCATCATCAATCATTTCAGCCCATGATTTTTTTGGTTTCTCATCTCTGTCCTGTGACCATTCCGATTCTTGTAGAGGTTCCACAAGTTTCGGAGACAAAACCTTTGGTGTACGTTTTTCTTCTGGAAGTTTTTGTGTTTTCTTGGGCTTTTCTGCCTCGATGAAATCAGTTTTTTGTTGAGTAAGTACAGAGGACCACGTGTTTACTTGTTCCTTCTGGGAATGTATAAACTCAGGTGAAATACTACGAACCTTTGGCTTTGCCTGTTTTTCATAACGATCGACCTTAACCTGTTGTCTAAGAGGTTCAGGTTGCTTTTGCTTTACCTCCTTCTTTGCTTTTGGTGGTAAATCGGTCATATGATCTATTTGCCTAGCGATTTTGGCCCATGTAATTGTATTTTCATCTTGAGTTGCGAGTTTCTCAACAAATTCACTATCATCTGATGATGTCGCCTGAATGACTTCGGATTCCAATTTTTCCAGCTTAACCTTCCGCTTTATGGTGCTTTCCGGCTTTGGTTTCGTCTCCGTTTTGTGGGTCTTGCGTTCCTTTCTTTGTTGCGGTTCTTCTTTACGTTCCTTCCTTTGTTGTGAATCTTCTCTACGCTCCTCCTTTGGTGCTTCGACTGGTTTCTTACGCGCAGCGATGTCATCCACCCATTCACCAGGCTTCTTCACCAAGGATGCCCAAGAGAAGGAACTGCCAGTGTCTTCAACTGGTTTTGGTTTAACAACTTGTAGTTCGGGTTCAACAACAGCCACTTCGTCGGAAGGTTCACTGCTAACTGGCTTGTTGTCGTCGCTTTCGGGCTCGGAAATGGGTTTCTTTGGCTCGGGCTTCTTCTTTGACTTTTGCTTTTTCGTCTTCTCAGGTTTTTCATGCTTCTCAGTAGGTTCTTTTCCGTCTGAGGAGGAAGTTACAGCAGTTTTGATGGTAGTCACTGTAGTATCAATCCATTCGCCAGGCCTTTTGACAAGCGAGGCCCAGGAGAAACCACTGGTTTGCTGTTCCTTTTCCTTCACCTCTTCGGGTGCGACTTCCGTTGGTTTTGCCTCAATGGGTGTGTGCACAGGCACAACAGGCTCGGGTTGTTCGTCCTCGGATGTTGTGGAAACCGGCTCGACCACAGGTTTCTTGGTCTTCTTTGTCTTTTTCGCTTTTGTTTTTTTCGGTTCGTCCTTTTCTTTCTGATGGGGCTTTTCTTCAGTCACGATGCGGCTTTGTGTAACCTCCTTTTTGACAATGGTGTTATCAGACCACTCACCAGGTCTGCGTACAAGAGCGGACCACGTCAGTTCAGAGGTCCTGGAGTGTTCCCTTTCATCAGAGGAAGGTTCCTTTGAACTTTCCGTCGTTGGCTTAGATAATTCGGTTTCTGATGTCGGTTTCGACGGTTCACTGTCACTATTTGGCTTAGACTTTTCGCTTTCTGTCGTTGGCGTAGACGTAGATTCAGCGGTTCTTTCTGCAGGCTTGCGTTTTTCAGACTTAGTCTTCTTCGTCCGCTCTTGGGGTTTCACCTTTGAAGCGACTGGTTCAGCAACAACTTCTTTCTGCTGCTCAACAACAGTCGTTGTAACTTCGCTGATGACGCCAGAATTGAGCAACACATCGGCATAAGATTTTCCATCACGATTCTTTGTCCACACATTCTCAACCTCCTCGACAATCTGAATGGGTTCTGCAACGAATGCTTTCTGCGTTGGTGGAGTAACTTGAGGAGCTTCCTCAAGAACTTCAACCTTCTTATTCTGTCGCTTTGGTGGTTTTACCTTTTTGGGCTTTTGCTGTTGTACAATCACCTGCTCCGTTCTATTCCTTGGGATGAACTCGTTGTAAACCCTTTCGTTGGCTAGGAATGTATGCGTTTGGTCAGAGAATGTATGCCTCAAATAAGATGGAGTGAACTCAGGGGCATCCGCAGACAAAGTCGAAGTAAATCCAACATTTCCAGAGCTTGGTATTGAATCCTCCAAGACACTGGACCACGTGTCAATGGGTTCTTCCAACGACTTTTCTACTTGCGTTATTCCCTCTTCACCAATGCTTGTCGTAGTCAATGCTTCTTCAATGGGCTGGACAATGGGAGCAACTGACACATTTTCAGGTTCCTTTGGCTCTTCGGTAATCGGAGCTTCGCTAGCTGTTTCTGTCGCTGTTACAGTGGTTGTGGTAGTTTTAGTCAATGTTGTGATTGTCTTGGACTCTTCGACGATTGGTGTTGGTTTAATGGGTTTGATCTTCTCGACGATTGGTTCTGGTTGAATTAGATTGACCTCTTCGAAGATTGGCTCTGGTTGAGTGGTGGCGGTTGTGGTTGTCTTGGACTCTTCAACAACTGGAGCTTTAACAATTGGCTGTGGTTTGACCTCCTCGACAATGGTCACCGACTTGGTAACTTCGACGACAGGAACGTCCTTTTGTGGCTCAGGGATAGTTTTCTCTTCGTCATCGGAAAAGTTCATGGGTTCATCCAGGACGTCCATCCATGAGCTAGATGAGTCGTCCACAGGCAAGCCGGCGTATGCTGGTTTCTTCGGCTGCTCTGGGAACTTCATGGGTTCCGGCTGTTGAGGCTCTTCAGGAATAGACACTTCGCTAGCTGTTTCTGTCTCACTTACAGTGGTTGTGGTAGTGACGGTTGTGATGGTCTTGGACTCTTCAAGCACTGGAGCTTCAATAATTGGCTCTGGTTTGACCTCCTCGACAATAGTCACTGACTGGGTAACTTCGACGACAGGAACGTCCTTTTGTGGCTCAGGGATAGTTTCCTCTTCGTCATCGGAGAAGTTCATGGGTTCATCCAGGACGTCCATCCATGAGCTAGATGAGTCGTCCACAGGCAAGCCGGCGTATGCTGGTTTCTTCGGCTGCTCTGGGAACTTCATGGGTTCCGGCTGTTGAGGCTCTTCAGGAATAGACACTTCGCTAGCTGTTTCTGTCTCACTTACAGTGGTTGTGGTAGTGACGGTTGTGATGGTCTTGGACTCTTCAAGCACTGGAGCTTCAATAATTGGCTCTGGTTTGACCTCCTCGACAATAGTCACTGACTGGGTAACTTCGACGACAGGAACGTCCTTTTGTGGCTCAGGGATAGTTTCCTCTTCGTCATCGGAGAAGTTCATGGGTTCATCCAGGACGTCCATCCATGAGCTAGATGAGTCGTCCACAGGCAAGCCGGCGTATGCTGGTTTCTTCGGCTGCTCTGGGAACTTCATGGGTTCCGGCTGTTGAGGCTCTTCAGGAATAGACACTACGCTAGCTGTTTCTGTCTCACTTACAGTGGTTGTGGTAGTGACGGTTGTGATGGTCTTGGACTCTTCAAGCACTGGAGCTTCAATAATTGGCTCTGGTTTGACCTCCTCGACAATAGTCACTGACTGGGTAACTTCGACGACAGGAACGTCCTTTTGTGGCTCAGGGATAGTTTCCTCTTCGTCATCGGAGAAGTTCATGGGTTCATCCAGGACGTCCATCCATGAGCTAGATGAGTCGTCCACAGGCAAGCCGGCGTATGCCGGTTTCTTCGGCTGCTCTGGGAACTTCATGGGTTCCGGCTGTTGAGGCTCTTCAGGAATAGACACTTCGCTAGCTGTTTCTGTCTCACTTACAGTGGTTGTGGTAGTGACGGTTGTGATGGTCTTGGACTCTTCAAGTACTGGAGCTTCAATAATTGGCTCTGGTTTGACCTCCTCGACAATAGTCACTGACTGGGTAACTTCGACGACAGGAACATCCTTTTGAGGCTCAGGAATGGTAGTGACGGTTGTGATGGTCTTGGAATCTTCAATCACAGGAGCTTCAACAACTGGCTCTGGTTTGACCTCCTCGACAATGGTCACTGACTTGGTAACTCCGACGACAGGAACATCCTTTTGAGGCTCAGGGACAGCTTCCTCTTCGTCATCGGAGAAGTTCATGGGTTCGTCCAGGACGTCCATCCATGAGCTAGATGAGTCGTCCACAGGCAAGCCGGCGTATGCCGGCTTCTTTGGCTGTTCTGGCAATATAATGGGTTCCGGCTGTTGAGGCTCTTCAGGAATAGACACTTCGCTAGCTGTTTCTGTCTCACTTACAGTGGTTGTGGTAGTGACGGTTGTGATGGTCTTGGACTCTTCAAGCACTGGAGCTTTAATAATTGGCTCTGGTTTGACCTCCTCGACAATAGTCACATCGACGACAGGAACATCCTTTTGTGGCTCAGGAATGTTAGTGACAGTTGTGATGGTCTTGGAATCTTCAACCACAGGAGCTTCAACAACTGGCTCTGGTTTGACCTCCTCGACAATGGTCACTGACTGGGTAACTTTGACGATAGGAACATCCTTTTGTGACTCAGGAATGGTAGGGACGTTTGTGATTGTCTTGGACTCTTCAACCACTGGTTGAATAGGTTTGACCTCTTCGACGATTGGCTCTGGTTGAGTGGTGACCGTTGTGATTGTCTTGAAATCTTCAACCACTGGAGCTTCAACTATTGGAGCTGGCAGTACTGACTTGGGAACCTCTTCGACAACAGGAGTGTCGTTTGGTGTGTTTGTCTCGAGCACCTCCTTGATGGTTTTTGTAACTGTTGTTGTAGTAATCGTGGTAGTATTCTTTTCGGTTTGAGTACTATCCCGCTCGGGAACTATTTCAGTGGGAGATATCGGTTCGGCGGAGACTCTGAAGAGAGTTTCAGCCTTGCTGTATTCACTGATGTTGTACTTGGGTACTTCAAAGTTGAAGATATTGGGTATATTTGTTATGCTTTCTGGAAGTGATTCTTCTTGCAGTGTTTTTGGGACTGTTTCGATTTTTCGTGTGACACTCTCAATTTCGTTTTTAGTAGGAATTTCTTCTGTTGTTGAAGTGGTTTCTGTTAGAACCGTTGTGGCTTCTACAGTTTTTTGTAAAAGTTCTGCCTTGTTGAGTGAAATAATGTCGTACTTAGGAACTTCAAAATTATAAATTGCAGGGTAAGTTTCGATTTCAAGAGAGATAGCAGAAGACTCTGACGTTTTGGTGATAGTTTCGGGTTCGTCTGCAAAGCTTACCGTCTTTGGCGACGGAACCTCTACTGATTGAACGGATGCCGATTGATCGATTTCTTTAGCCTTGGAATTGATTATGTGATAATTAACCTCAGCAATATTAAGTTTAAGTATATCAAATGTGGGAATTTCAAAGATTTTATCAAGTGCAGAGTTTTGTTCAATATTAATGATAGTACTTAGAGTGCTTACCGTGTTAGCTACAAATGGCTCAGCAATTAGGGCGCTCGATAGGGCAGGAACAGTTTGATTAGCGGTTTTAGTAGGAGCTGGGCTGGGGCTTAACTGAGTATCTACTAGAACTTCTTCTTGACTTGGACTTGGAATGGGGGCAATTTCAGGGACTGGCGTAACCTCAATAGTTTCACGATAAATAATATCTGCTTTAGTCTGCTCGATCAGCTTAACGCTGGATATCAAAGCCTCATCTTGAGAAATATTGGGTACCAACTGCTCGGGTTCAGCCGAGAGGACTGAGGGGACGACTTCGGTTATGACCTGTTTCTCATCAATGATATCATTACCTTTGCTTTCTTCTACAGTAATCTGAACTGTCTCTTGCTTAATGAATTCTTCGGGTATAGCCGGACGTTTCTTCTTGTCTTTCTTAGAGAGCTTCTTCTGAATGTCCTCGAACAGCTGCTGCTCTTCGGGACTCAATTCTGCAGGGGACAGGGGCTTGCTAACTTCAGGGACCAGTATCTCTTGAGTAGCTTCTGTAATTTTAACGTCTTCTGGTTGGATAGACTCTTTAAGGGGCTCGGGAATGATCTCCGCAGAGGCAATACTCGTCACTGATACAGTTTCTGTTGAATCTGTAATCTTGACAAGTTCCTCAGACTGGATTTCTGTTGAAATGGGTTCTAAAACGGGCTCTGCTGTCTCTGGCAATACCTCAACCACAGAGTTTTGACTACTTTCGGTCGTTCTTTGCAGAGACTCCACATTTTCCGTCACCGTCTCGGTCACACGAAGACTAACCTCTGGAAAATCTAGATGCATTTTCACAATCGGTGTCTTCAGCTTTTCTTCATGGGTGATAAGGGATATCTTTTGGACTGTGCCCGGTGGATAGGCACCGTCAATGCCTTCTCCCACGAAAAGAACATTTGTGCCATCTTCGGTTTCGAAGCTGCGTCGTTGGGTTGTCGTGAGTATCGTATTTCTGGTAGTCGTCGTAGTAGTGGTAACACTATCGGTTTCGTTTATATCCCCGTTTGTCTTACTTTCGGTTCTGATCTGTTCCCTTAGGTTCGGCACATCGACAGTGTTTGTCTCAATGCCGATGACCTTCACCCCAGTGGGACTATCTTTAACTGATCCCAACTGAATGTTTGTTGCCCCTAAATTCTCCAACTTAAACTCGTTACTGGGAGTAACAACGACAGGGGAAGAGGCTGTGGCTACAACCGGACTCACTGGTCTTTGATCTGGCATTTCGATGCTTGATGTCACAATAACATCGCCCGGTGTGTCACTTTCAGTCAGGAGTATGCGTCCGTCATTGGTTATTCTCTTGGTAATGCGCATCGTGCGTATCGTTGTGGTCTTGATAATCGCTCCATCGATTTGACTAGATGTGGTGGAGGTTTCACTGGGAATCTCTGAAATCGTTGGCGATGATTCACGGACTGTGACGGGAGGCTCACTGGTAGTGCTGCTGCTCTCCTCTTTGGTGGTTTCACCATCTTCGTTGAGCTTCTTCACGATCTTTGTCGTACGCACGGTTGTCGTTTTGGTTACACCACCACCTATCGCCTCCTCTTGAGCAACAGGCAGCGCTTGATCCGATTCTGGAGCTTCAACGATCTCACTAACGCTTTGTTCTTCGCTACTTTGCGATATTTTCTTGACAATTTTCGTTGTTCGCGTAATTGTTGTCTTGACAACATCACCAACCCCGGAGTTATCTGGCTCTGACACCAGTATTTCCTGAACTATACCATTTCCATGCTGAGGTTGTTCTGAAATAGGAGCTGCAACTTCAGAGGATTCTACAATGAGTTGTTCCGGTTCTGGAATCGTTTGTGTTGCGTTCTGTTCTGCAGAAATAAAATCTAGAATGGTTGTCTTTATTTCAGTCGAATCCGGCACGTTAGGAATAGCTGTTGATGTGGTCAGCCACTTATCTTCCGGAGCAACTGGAGCTTCTTCATCTACACTCTTATTTACAGCCTTTGTGGTTCGTGTAGTTGTGGTCTTTGTGATGCCCTCACTGTTGGATTCCGTGGTCACGGATTCAGCCACTAGGGGAGCATCCTGAATGAAGTCCAGAGAAGTCTCGGCTTCACTGCTTGTCTCGCTTATATTTTCATTCTCCTGGGAAATCTTCTTCACGATTTTCGTAGTGCGCACAATGGTGGTTTTTACTACACCACCCTCGGCAGGCTCCTCGATCTCCGAACGAGAGGCGACTGCAGGCTCCTCTTCAGTTGGCACTTCCCATGTAGCTTCAACGGGTACTTCCTCGGTTTTTGGGCTTTTGATGGTCCGAGTGGTTGTGGTTTTAGTTGTCTTGACCACACCCTCATCGCTTATTTCGCGACTGTTCGTCTCGGATTTCTCAATCTTCGGTTCGATCTGTTCGACAGCTTCTTCGGCCAGGTCAAAGGAGCCCAGGGATTGGACGTCCGAGTGCGTGGAAGATGACATATCCTGACTATCTTGCTGACTGCTGCTGATTTTCTTGACGATTTTGGTTGTACGAATGACAGTCGTCTTGATGAGGCTGCTGCCATCATCACTATTGACAGCAGATCCTTCCGATGACAGCGTTTGTCTCTCATCCGTAGTAATTGCACTTGTTATGTTCAGGGGCTCTGTGATTTCTTGTTGTGGCTGTGGCTCGATAACTTCGGCTATCTTTTGGACAATGGGTGTGGGGGCTTCGTTTTCCGATTTCTTGTGTTTCTTCTTGTCCTTACGGGAAGGCTTTTGGGGCTTCTTTTGCTGCGGTTCCTCCGCAACTTCCTTCGTTGCTTCCGGCTCTATAACCAATAATGGTTTCTCTGGTCCCGAAATGGGCTGTTCCTTCTTGGCCTTTTTATTGTCCTCACTAGTTGACTTTTGCTCTTCCGGTTGGGTTATCGCTTCGGCTTTTTTGATGACTTCCGCAACCACGTTCTGGGCAGCCTCCTCGATGTTAGATTGATGCTGTTTCTCCTCCGTTGTGGTAAACGAAGATGTTACCACTGTCGTAGGCAGCAGCGTTACATCTCTCTCCACTTCTGGTTCATCCTCAAAGACCTCCTCAACAATTTCCTCCCCGTCCTCGGTGATACGCTTTAGTATGCGTTTTGTCTTGGTAATCGTCGTCTTGGTTATCGATCCCTGTTGCACGATGGTATCCTGTGTGGTCAAGAGTCCAGTCACATCAACGGGCACCTCGCTACTTGTGGTTTCAATTGTCGGCAGATTGAACTGCTGCACGGAGATATTCTCCTCGGGCAAATCATCAATAACATCTTCCTCGACAATCTCCTCTTTACCATCCACAATGCGCTTGACTATACGCTTTGTTATGTGTTTGGTTATTGTACGCGTGGTGATGGTTGTGGTTCCACTTTCCGTTGATATTGTGTTGGTCGATATCGTGACTGCAGGTTCGCCCTCAGTGATGGTCTCACTGATTTCCGTAGAGACGGGACTTACGGACGTACTCTCCTGCAATACTGGACTACCATTCAGGGCTTCTGTCAGCGTTTCTGTGGTTGTAATTAAATCCTGTGAGGGAATTTCCACGGGCTCTGACACCGTTCTAGCCACTATTACGGGTTCAATTACTGGCTCAGGTGCTGTTACTGCAGGTATAACTTCTGCAATTGGTATTTCAACCGTTTTCTGAACTGTTTCCTCAAACTTAACTTTGGGTTCGGCCACAACATTGCTTTCAGTGACTACCGTAATAGTCTCTGTTGTGGTTTTTGAATCAACAATCACTGGAACATCCTCCACCGGATCAACGGCTACCTCTATCTTAGAGATAGTTTCAGGTTTGTCCTCCTTCTTGGAACGTTTTCTGTCCTTCTTTGTGGGTGTCGAAGCTGTAACTTCAGGCTCATCAATTTTCTTCTCTGCAACGGGCTCCGGCTCTACAATCTCCTTTTCAATGACTGGTTCCAGAATCTCCTTTTCGATGACTGTTTCCACAATTTCCTTTTCGATGACTGGTTTCACAATCTTCTGTTCGATGACTGGTTCCACAATCTCCTTTTCAATGACTGTTTCGACAATATCCTTTTCGAGGATTGGTTCCACAATCTTCTGTTCGATGACTGTTTTCACAATATCCTTTTCGATGATTGGTTCAACAGATTTGGTGCTGCTGATGACAACCTTCTCCACTGTCGTCTTTGACTGTTTCTTTTCCTTCCGGGAGGGCGCAACTGGAGCTGGAACATCCTTTTTAGCTACGACAGTTTCAACTTTCTCCTTCACTTCAACCACTTCGGACTTTACAGTTGCCTTTTCCTTGACTGGTTCTCCAGATTGCTTGCTGATGTGAGCCTTTTCCGCTACTGGTTTAGCGGTTTGCTTCTTTTCCTTCTTTGATGTTGGCTCAGGAGCTAAACTGACCTCCAACACAACAGGGTCAACCGTTTGGGTGGCGGTAACAGTAGTCTCTACCACGGTTTGCTTTCTCTCCAGAACAGGTGATGCTATCTTTCGGCTTGCTATAGGAGAGTTCCGCTTTCGCTCCACAGCAGGTGATTCCTTCTTAGGAACAGGAGAGGATTGCTTTTTCTCCAGACTGGGGGAATTCTGATTTTTCTCCTTATTGGACACCATTGGTGCTTCTACTTTGGGCTCCACCAACTGGACTACATCCACAATTGTTGCATTGTCGGTTGTCTTTTTCGATTTCTTTGACTTTCTTGGCTTTGGCTCTGGCTGTTTGGTGGGTTCTTCAACCACTTCTTGCACCACTTTCGTGCTTTCCACACCATTGCTCTCCGGAGATCTGTGCTTCTTGCTCGATTTGGTATCCTTACGGGTGCTCACCTTGATCGGCAATGGTTCGGGATGCGTTTCATGTCGCACTCGCTTTGGACGCGATGTCCTGGACTCAATATTATCGTCCCTGCGCTCCCAAGTTGGCGATCTTCTTGAGTTGGTAATCGTTGTGGTAGTAACTGTTGTATGCTTCGTATTGGTTGTGTGTTCAGCTGTTGCTCTGCGTTGTGTTGGCGGCGATAAGCGTACGGGTATCTGCTGTAGCTGCTGACTGGATGGCTGGAAAACTGATTGCTGTTGCAGTTCTTTGTGCTGTAGACCGAACAGGACTTCGGCATAAGTACTACCGGCACTGATATCCTGTGGCTGGGTTGGCTGCTGTACACGTTGGGCTTGGGGACGCACAGTGACTGTGGTCGCTGGGGTCGTTTCGGGGACTTCTGATCGAGTCTGGACCTGCTGAGTTATCACAGTTGGCTGTTCCGTCGTCTGTTCTGAGACAACAGTTTCTTGAACATAGCTTGTTGTCGTTACGACAGTGGATTGCTGTTGCGGTTGGACTTGAGGCTGGGCCTGCACTTGTGGCTGTGGTTGCACATCAACGGGTATCGTCTCAATGGCATCCATCTCAAACTGCCCAAAGGTAATGTCTGGTCGTGGCTCGTCAACCTCAAACTCCTGTGGCTCCACTGACCTCAGTATTTGCACATTCTCTTCGATATAATACTGGGGGTCTTCTTCGGGTTCGATCTGTACCACAGTGGGCTGAATCTGCTGCGTACTGGTGGTCAATGGTTCCGTGCTCTGTTGCACCATCGAAGCGAGTGTGGTGACAACGCGATCCAGCACGCTGTTACCTGTCGTCGATTCCTGTACACTGTAGGGATCTAGCAGATAGGTCTGCTCTACCGTCTCCGGTTGATAGACTACGGTTTGGTTGGTTATTTCCTGCTGAGGCTGAGGTTGTTGCTGCGTTTGATACTCCTGCGAATACTCTACCGTCGGTTGGGTAAAGTAAATCTGCGATGGCTCTGTGGGATAGAGCGTTGAGTAAGTGTCGGTTGTGGCTATGGGCTGGTAGTAGCCGGGCAGCAGTTGAAACTGTGTTGTCGCCGGCTGTACTGCCACGGTCTGATATTGCAGGGGATATTGCATCTGCAGGATTTGTTCATAGTAGTTCTGCGGTTGCTGCTGCTGCTGCTCCTGCTGGGGCACTGTACTGGCATTCGCCACATAGCCCCACTGGCCACTATCGGCCACATTCTCGTACATCGTTTGATACAGCTGTGGATCGGGCTGCAAGTAAGTGGCGGCAATCTCCTCCGCTGTCATGGGCACCTCGTAATTGTTGGCACTTTCTACAAGTTGTGGCAGTTGCTGCTGCTGTTGTTGGGTAGGAACATAGACATGTTCTGGATTGACTTCGCTGATATATTGCTGGTGTGTTGTTGGTTCCTCGATAATTTCTGGCTCTGCTTCGGGGACATACATGCTGGCCGCTACGGCGGCACTGGCATCCACCACATCCTGTATGGTGAGATCCGCCGTATGACTCTGGACGCCTTGGGCGGCCATTTGCTCGGCTGCCTGCTGCTTGAGACGCTCCAGTTCCAGCCCGCGCAATACCTCCGCATAGGACGTCGAACCGGGCACCCACATGGGGCTACTCGATCGGGTACGATCGTCCAATGGCAAGAAGAGCTGCTCCTGTTGGTGCTGGTGCTGCTGTTGCTGCTCCTGTTGGATTGTAGGTGGCTCTCGTCGACGTCTCGGCGAACGTCCGCGACGTTCTGGCCGATTGGGAGGTTGTAGATTCTTACCCGTTTTCACATGATATTGCTGTTCGCTGTCAATGAACTGTTGACTGCTGATGGGGTTGGTGGTGGTTGATTGAGGTTGAGTCTGAGGTTGGTTAGGAACTTGTTGCTGTTGTGCCGTGCTACTGCTGCTGCTGCTGTTGCTGTTGCTGATCTCGATCGACTCCACATAACTCTCGATTGGTGGTGTTGGTGTAACCTGTTGGGGGGGAACCTGAACCAGATCTCTGCTCTCATAGATCGCAGTGGTTATACCGCCTCCGTGCAGTTCGATCTGGTCTTTGTCGTGCGTACGTTTTAAAGTCGTGGATGTTGTCGTAGTCGTAATGGTTGTTGTAATTGTTGTCTGATTGTTTGTCGTTTCTTGGTGGTGTTGTTGTTCTTGCCAGTTCGTTGTCGTTGTTGTTGTTTGTGTCGTAGCTGGGGAGGATACTCGTTCTTGTCTGGGTTTTCTCGTTGGGGCTGCTGTTTGGGTCGTCTCATTACCGCTTACCGGACTCGTTTGTCCCGATAACACTTCAGCATAGGTCAAACCTACGGCCGTTGGCTTCATAAGCAACGACACAGTCGATGAAGTGGTTACCACTGAATGGGGATCCAGAGCATAGGACTTTCTGGCGGTTGCATCGTAGATCTGCTGCATGCCATCGATTGATTCCCGCATTGCCTAATGTCGTTCATCATCGTTCATCAATGATATCATCAATAGAGAGAGAGAGAGAGAGAGATAGGGGGAAGATTTGCCAAAAACGTTAGCTTTTTCATATGGTTTTTGTTTATTTTTCAGGGGGGTCAATAGGTCAAAGGGCCACCCTACCTACAATAATGTACCTAAAAATCTTCCCTGACAAAAATCATAATCTCTTTGGGTTTTGCATTTTAAAAAAATAGATAGGTATACATATATATATATATAATTTGATAATTGTAATTTATTTTTTAGATATGTATGTATATCATATAGGATAGTATTTTTTGGTATAGATATTCCTTAAACATGTTGTGGGTCATGTGTGGCAGTTGACAGTCGTACAGGTCGCCCCCCACTCCTGTGTGCCACACACAGAACTTTGGGAGACTGCGACGGCATGAAGCGAGGGGCGACACCAACGACTGTCAAAATAATGTTTTTGATCTAGTCCTAGATTTTGGCTTTACAAATTAATTTTATATTTAAAAGGGGGCGGGGCAGGGAGCATCTACGGCATCTCTAAATCTCTAGCCTGGCATCGTCCGGCGTGCCCCGATGTATTAACAACTTGATGCGCTCATTACGTGCGGTTATTTTCGAATGCAGATTTTTCACACGTTCCCGGCATGCCTATATATCGAGAGTGTATGGCGGGTATATATTTTATATATATGGTGCATGTTCGATATTTGATAGTTTTGTTTTCAGAAAGAGTTTTTTCAGGCGTGAGAGAGGCAGAGAAGAAATACAAACAAAATGTCAGCATATTGAGATTTGAGTTTCATTTGATGGTAATTTATAGACAGCGCCATGTGGGGTGGAGTGGAGTGGAGAGAGAGAGACAGAGGGATACAAAAAGCAACCATAGACCATGTTTGATATTTTGTATATTTTGGCAGAAGAAGTAAGCAGTACCCATGTATTAATGTTTTTTTTTTTTTTTGAGTAATGTTTATGTTTTTGGAATGGGTTTAGATTTGTGCGAGATTTGGGGTTTAGTCACAGGTTTTTCAGCAGGCGACAAGCGAGTAGCAAAGCCCAAGGACCAGAGTTAGGATCATTAGTAAACGAGCGAGATATAAATATGTTTTTATGGAGAGTGTTTAGAGCAATTTGCATGTTTTTCGGTTTTTTTGTTGTTTGTTTCAGCGCAACGACACCAGGATTTTTCGTAATATTCGTAATATATATATTCAATGAGAGATAAAAAAAGAGATACAAATTTGTCAAAAATAAAATACCAAAATCAACATTAAAAACCGTAACCATAATTAAAAGTTAACCGATTTCCGCTAATACCAAAGATAGAGATAGATTTATAGAGAAAGAGAGAGATAGGTAAGGCAATAATTGAGTGACGATAAATGTTTGCTCGGCTAAAAGCGGACTAATTAAAAAAAAAAACAAACTAAAAAATTAAATCATAAAAATGTTTAAGCGTAAGCTTAATGAGTAACTTTTGTGGCATTTAATGCGTGAGATGTGATGTGATGACTGTACTTTTTGTTGATGAGTGCAACGTATGTATGCAACTGTACTTCGATCGAGTGCGTGTTGAATGTGAGAAAGATGTGATTGATTGAGTGTATCCAAAATAAGTTCTCATAGCAAGAGTTACCCCACAATTATAATCATTTTTGTAACTACATTTCAAATATTTCTTTGGAATTCTTGAGTTTAAAGTTTGAGTTTTTGTTGTTTGCCACTTACCGCCAGACACTGCAATTCGCAATGTAAACTTAAATTTTAGCATTAAAGAACTATAAACTATTTCAGACAGAAAGAATATTTCTTTAGGCCACCTGCTTTGCTAAATATAGTATCATCATTTTTGTTTATAAAGAGAACAAGAACACAAAAAAAGAACAAAATTTGATGGCCTAAAAATAAAACGTCTGGAGGTAGAAAATTCCTGGCTTTTCTTTTCGTTTAGTGGGTGGGCTGGCTGGCTAACCCTGACAACAAGAACTTATTTCTTTTCTCGGCTATATATAAATATATTATTTTTTCTTTTGTGCCCGCAGCACGTGACAAATGAAGCAGTTCTCTGACAGATGGAAAGGGTATTACGATTTGTGGAGATTTTCCAATGAGAGGGAGAGAGAGATGAGACATGAGAGAATGAGCACTGCACGATGAGAGCTGGGTGGTGGTGTGATGAATAAGATGTGATAGATGGAAAACATAAGGAAGCACAGAAATGATACGTCTATGTATATGATATTTAAATGTTGATCTCAGTCTGTCTTTGTGTGCAAAATGAATTCGAAAATAAAACGTAATAGAATTTACAGAAAAAATCGAATGCCGCAAAACGAAAAAAAAATAATAAGGAAATTAATAGAAAAAAAAATATAAATAATAAATTGAAAATTTCGCGCTTTTTGTATAATAAAAGAAAAGTAATGGAAAAGAAAAATACGCAGCCACCGTGCAACTTTTTATTTTATTTTTTTCTCTTGGACCTACCCGGCGCACATTTTTAAAGCGCATGGAGAGGGGGGACGGGTGGGGACGACGATTATTCAAATATTATTTTAAAATAAATATCATATGGAGTGTTAATAACTGTTGTTGTTTTTTTGGCTAACAAACCGGTTGTTCTGTCAACTGTTTTTGGCATAGCAATGAAAGATCGTTCTCATAGCAATGACGGGAATGCGTTATATCTATGTAAAAAGGGTGGGGAAACTTGACTAGAAAGAGCTCCTAACACAACAGAGATATATAGTCTGATCTTATCTGATCTGCTAGCTGGAACAAACTACTAACTGGAGAGGGGGATCTGATCTATACTGTTGAAAACAAAAAGGCTCTGGGAAGTTACGTACCTGTTGATCGGCTAATGCTCGCTCACGATCGTGTGGCAAGTAGGTGGGCGCCATCACCAGACGCAGCTGTTGCTCCTCCTGGATGATGCGCTGCCGCAGCGTTTGCATCTGCTGCTGGTAGACATCGATCTGGGCGAGCGTCTGTTCGAGGCTCTGGGACTTGGCCTTCACCAATTCACCCAAGCCATCGAGCACGCGCACCAGATCGTCAACATTCTCGCTAAGGCGTGGATCACCACCCATGCCATTGCGGAAGTGAACCTGGGAACGAAACGCAGCATTGTGGGATGCGGGATGCATGGCAAAGGATTAACTATTCCATTCGGTTGGGTACTCACCTCCAGCTTCTCGATAGACAGTCTCAGTTTTGTTTTTTGCACATTTATATCGGCCAGGGTCTTCTCACAGAACCCAAGCTGATCGCGCAGCGGTTTCTTCTGCTGCTGCGACGAGTCCAGGCCCTGTTTGGTCTTCTCGTGCCAGGCGCGTATGTCCTTGATTTTGCGTTCGCATTGATCCCATTCCTCGCAGGCCTCTTGCAGCAGAGAGTTCTAATCGAAAGGAAATATTAGTTATGCTGAACAGCTAAAGATATGTGTATTCTCAATCTAGGGGTTACCCTCTCCAGCAGCACAGCTTCCACGGTTATCTTCGCATCCTCGGCCTCCTGCAGTTTATCCTTGAGATCGCCCACAGTCGTCACTTGGCCAATGTGTTCCAGTTCCTTATCCATTTCGCTCAAATGCTTGACAATCGGTTTAATACTCTTCACAGCCGCCACATAGTCGTTCAGTTTGTTCCTGGCCTCGGGCAGGGTGCGCAAGTCGATCGACTGGTCGATAAACGTACGCTTCTCCGCCGCCCAGGACATGACAATCTGATACAGATTCATGAATCTCGTCCAAGCATCCAGGCTATCGCCCACCGCCTGCTTCTTCTCGTCCAACCAGCCCCGAACTTGGGCCAGGGAAGCGGCCAACTGATCGATGGTCGTCTGCACCAGTGTCTTCTCCTCACTGTTGCGGCAATTCTCGATAATCAGCTGGCCGTTGGTCTTGACCAGGGTGAAGCGTTCGTATATGGCGGTGATCTCATGGTTGATGCGCTGCAGCAGCTCCTTCATCTGTGTGGGACTCAGGGTGCGCTCCTGCACCTGCACTTCGGCCTGCAGCAGCCAGCGCTGGATCTCATCCACACCGGCCACATACTCGGTGCGCACGGTCTTGGCACGCTTGAAATCCTTCTCTTTGGTCTCCATCGTCACCTGTACACGTTCCGAAAGCAACTCAAGAGCGGTAAACTCCTGGGCAATGTCGCTGGGCAGTAGATTCTGCTTGGCCTGATATTTGGCCGTTGTCTGGCTAACCAGCAAACGACTCTCCTCGGCCGCCTGCTGCACCTGGCTGTTGAGGGTGATCAGGGCCTGTTCCGTTTGGGCAATGTGCTCGTCGTAGACGTGTATCGATTGCAGTTGATCGTTCAAGGCGTTCAACTTGTCCTGCAGCTGCGAAATGTGACGGAAGACTTGCTCGATCTCGTCGAGATCCTGGCTAACCTGTTGCTCCTTCTCGCGTAGCGTGTCGTTCAATCTGCAAATAAAAAATAGGCGATGTTCAGGGTCGTGTTATTCAATGGCATGGGCTGTAGGGAAAAGAGTATATGTTTTATTTGAAAAACCACGCGGTTCTGTTGCGTTGTATAGATAGAATCGCTCAGCGCGTGTCTCCTCCAACACACAATACGTGTAGGTATATATGGACGTGGATATATTGGGATCTCTTTAGATGTTCTTGTCTAAAACACAATTCTGAAGTTTTTTTCAAGATATATATATGTATTATCCGTTGGGCTATGGCCTCGGGGGTCTTCTGCGAAGATTTCCGTGAAAATGAATGCTGCCGTTTGGCTACAAGAGAGTTTTCTTAATGAAGAAAAATCCCAAAAGCACATTTTCACGAACCCCCAGACCCCAGGCTGTTCGAATTTCGAAAATTGCTCATAATTCGAAATTGCCTTGAGCCCATTGAGAGAGAGCCGAAAAGAGAGGAAAGACCAAGAGAAATAATGATTTTAAAGATCTCAAGAGAGAGGGATATTACGAACAAAAATGATTTAAAAGCCAACAAAAAATATATATCTTTTAGATAAAACTGTTTTATGTGCGGACACGCACAACTTTTAAAATTTTGTAGATTTTTTTTTTGTTCTATTCGAATTTTTAATGTCGGCGCATGTTTAATTTTGTATATTCCTCGTATATTTTTGTCGTGTGTGTGTTTCTATGCATTTCAGTCATTGTCTGACGTCATTGGGGCGTTGCAGCTTCCCAGAGAGCAATAGCGAACGAACGACTGCCAGATGAATCAATGGCCACGAATTTCCTAAAAATTTTGCATATTTTTATCCGATTTCTGGCCAAGTATTTCCAGCACATGACGCACATCACGCATACGCCTTGGGGGCACCCGAGAAGTGATTGAAAGATTTATGCCGCCGGCGAGTTTTCGTTTGGGCAAGGTCCTGAACCATGGTTAATGGAACCGTTTATTGCCCTTTACAGGCTCGGCCCGAAAATGAGACGAGATGAGATGCGGTGAGGAGGCCAAGTCAACACACATTTGGCACTCGGCCAACAACAAACAGACAGACCCACAAAAGTCGGCCGAAAAATGTTCAAATTAATTGTTGAAGAAAAATAATAAAGGAACGAAAGAAAAACGGCCAACGGAAATAAAACGGGGGATACAATACAAGACGAAATAATTTCGGCGTCATTTTTCGGCCCAGCCTCACAAAAATCGAAATACAAAATACGAAAAATTCTCAATGTTGTTTGGGTTTGTGTTTCACACGAAAAACCAAAGATCAAACATGAAAATAACGAAAGGAAGGCGGCTTTGGATACCCTTAAAGATAGAAATCGTCCGATTAAAGGACCATATATAGGCTTAACGATCAGATATTTTCTACCAATAAACTTTGTTTATTAAACATCATCATCATCCGTTCCTACCGTTTCCGGTATAGAATTCAGCGTTTAGCAAAAGGAAAGTGCTGTGCTTCGGAAATATCTCCTCAAAATCACAATACCCTCTATCTGGCCAGGGTATAAACAAGCAAAATACCGAAATAAATAAGAAAGAAAGAAAAATATTTCCCCTCTAGTCTTTTTTCAGCTATTTTAAGTTTGGGGCCTGCCATTTTGTACAAATTAACGAATTTAAATTTAGTGCACGGCTCTAATTTAAATGGCAAAATATTTGAGAAATGCCACAGCAAGGCACACACACGCACAGCAGAAGTGAATGAAAGTGAAAGGCGCCCGTGTGCCTCAGAGATTTGTTTCGGATAGTGATAGGGAAAACCGCATATTGAAAACAGAAGTAATTTCTGAATCAATTATGGTTGCTGCTGCTGTGTAATCAAACGTGGAAACAACAGACGATAAGCGGCATTCGATTCGTTCGGCAGAGTTTAGGTTTCTGTTATTTCTGTCACCGACGACTACGTCATCGTTTAAAGTAGAAACGCGTGCGAATCATATGCTCTCTGGCCCCTCTCTCTTTCTCTATTCCTCTCTAAACAAAACACCTGACGACCCTGGGCAGGTACCGGGTCTGTTAGAGGTCTCTAATTCGCGAATACAAGTACGAAAGACCCGGTAAAAAAATAAAATAAAACTTTGTTTTCTGCTGCTGTTTTGCATATGACCACCGGAGAGCCTGCTCTCTGGCTGAAACGATGACTTAACCGGGTCTTGTCTTGTCTTGGAAACGTCTCTGACTTTAGGCTTAAATTTTCGGTTGCGTTAGTTTTTATCACCTCTTGCTTTTGACGACTTTAACTAGAAGTGCGTTTAGTTGTGTTTTTCTGGTTTTTCTTTTCTGGGCAATTAGTTGGGCTCCCGTCGTTTATTTGGCTGCTGCTGAGGCGCTTCTCTGTCTTGTGGCCTTTTGGCCTTTGGGTTCGTTTGTGTCTTACTGCTGGCGACTACGTTCGCACCTCCTTTTGGCCCGGAGGCAGACGTGTGCTCAACAAGAGCCTCTCCTCCTCCTCCTCCTCCTCCTCCTTCTAGCTCTTCTTAATTTCCACTAACAAACCACGAGTGAAAAGAAAGCCGCTGCTGCAAAATACAAATCTCTTTCCCTCTTTCTGAATTACGTATACGCCTGGTAATCCACAAAGCGGCGTCGTTCAGAAAACTGCATCAGCAAGAGACCATGAAATGGAAAAGATAAATTGTTATTTTGTGAGCCCTTGGCCCGAATCGACTGGTATTCCATGTGGTTTCTTATACATCTCTTTCTCTCTTTTGGTGGGGGCCGCCTTTCGCTAATATTTTGCTGCTTCTCTGGTTTTTCTACTTTTAAACTTAATTTGATTTAAATATATGCGTATTCGTTCGATTGTGCTCTTCTGATAGTTTCCAGCCATCCAGTTAAGTGGAAACCACACGTCCGCTTGCAACTAACTCTAAGTAAAAACTGATTTCAGATATTCTTGGGGCCCCACGAAAAAGTGCCAAAAAATCGTCTCATTGCCGCTGGTCGGGTCGTGGTCGTGGTCGTGCCGTGTCGATCGTTAACAGCGCGACGGCGCACGAGAGCGAGCGAACGCGAGACGGAAATAAAAAGAACGAAACAAATTTCACCACACTTACGCATACCAAAAGATATCGGAGAGAAGGAGAGAAGGAGAGGAGAGCACTAAAAAATATATATATAGTATATGCTAAATGCGCTTGGCATTGAAATGTACTCATTAATATGTTACGCAGCAGCAATCAGCACTGCTTGTTGTGGCTGTTGATAAAATAAAATCTCCCTACACAGTTCCACATGAACTGCATAAAATGTTGTTGCATATTTTGATAAAGCTTGAATAATATTTCGCCGGTTTTCGAAGATAAGAAAAGCCGGCTATAAAGTAACACCAGAGATAGAGAGAAAGAGAAAGAGAGAGAGAGACAGAGTGGCATAGTACAGAAGGAGAGAAATCAGAATCTATCAAGTCCAATGAGAGAGAAACGCTTTGGAATCGAAACGGAACAGCACTCTTTTACATACAGTACGGGCTCTGGTTAAGGCTTAACAGTGCTAGTTGTACTGTAACAGCACTGTTAACGAGCTAACAGTTCGAGTGGAATGCCGTCTGAAATAAATTTTATAATTACCCGATTACCTCATTTGGGCAGAGTTTTTATTATTATTATTTTGTTGCTGTTTGGTTTTCTCTTTTTTTTTTTGCCTATGCCAAATGACAAATTGTTGAATGCAAATGCTGCATATGCAAATCTAAAGATTAAGTTTGAAACTTTTGGCAAGTTTTATTTCACTCTGGATTACTCGACCCCCTGATAACGTTTTCCGTATATGTACAGAAGTATGTGTGATTCAGCTATAGTTTCGTTTCCTTTCGTTTTGATTCAATTGAAATGAAATTATATAATTTGTTGCACACTTGAGTATTGTTCAGGCTTTTGCTTCATCTCTTTGCTTATTGCTCATCGATGAAGTCAGCATCAAAGTTGAGCGAAAACAAAAAACAGGAAAGGAGGCACATTTAGATACCCTTTTCAAATGATCGTTTCCATCTGGGAAATTTACACGATTTTGATCAAGTTTGTAAAGAATTTATAGAAACCTATTAATTGGAATTTCTTAAAAAAAAAAAACGTCAAAGCATAAGATCGAAAGTTCTGTTAAAAGAAACTTCTTCAAAAAATGTAGATTTATATGAAATATATCTAAATTAGTATGATCAACATTCTACGGATATCTATATGATCTATACACTGATTCGAATAGCAAATATTCCATATATTATAACATCATGACAGCGAGGTTTCAAAAGTAAACATTAAGAAGAGTATATAAAACATTTAATGATAGTAAAATCTTCTTCAATGTTCTCTATAAAGAGTATACAATATAAAGAGTATACAAAAATTTGCACTCCTCTCTATTGACGATCGACAAGTATTATTTACTTAATCTTTTATGATTTTTGTGTGGCGGCTGCTGTTTACATTTTTTCTCAATTTGTTTTTTATTTATTTTCTCGCACATTTCCTTTGCTTTCTGTACATATCCAAAATTTGCCTCTCTCCCTCTCTCTCTCTCTCTCTCTCTGTCTTTCTCTAGAGCAAATGATTCGAAATATTCGCTAACGAAGTTAATTCCCATATCTTTCTCACAAAATCGCAACTGCAAAATATTTATAAATAAATTATTATAATGCCCCGAAAAATGCACAAAAAAAAAATAATCAAGGCTTACGCAATATTTAATGTCTTTTTCGTTGATTAGATTCTCGCATGTGCCCGTCGAAAAAATGTATTTAAATCTCAAGTGTGTAAGTGCATTGAAATATTCGCGTCGCATTTTAAGGATACATAATATACTCGTAGATACATATTGTATCTCCTCCGTCCGACTATATAATTATCGATGACAACCGAAATGCCTTGGTTGGTGGTGGAGGCATATTAGATCATTCTTTTCGGCTCTGATGATGGCATAGTTCTCATTTTGCTTCATTTTTGGATATCAAAACAATTAAAGGAAGACATTTTCTCCACGCTTTCTCAAGGCAAATCGATCAAGGGGAAATTATTATCTCATAAAAGATGGAAAAAATGTCATAATTTGGTTAATGAATGTATTCTTTTGATGGGATCGCTGCCTGTTGAGGGAGAACGAAACTACCATCTTAAAGACTTTAGTTCTTCATAAAATAGATATAAAAAGCATATTTTTATGTACGTAACCAACTTGGGCTGAACAAACTCTAAAAATTAATGAGGAAAAGTTAAACTTTTGAAATAAATATGAAATAAATCATGTGGAAAATTAATTCTTCAAAAAGATAGATATAAATAACATGTTTTTGTATACTTCACATTAATTAGGTCTGAAATTAGGTCCTAATTAGGGTATCAAATATGTTTTGACATTAAGTGAATAAGGAGAATAAAAGATAATTTAAGACTTGGAATTAGATGCGCTTTAGACGACAACCAAATATGGGGGGATCCAAAGAGATCCAAATAAACTCCCATTCCTATCTAAAGAGTAAAGGGATCTATTAGGGGCTCTCATTTGGGGTAGACAGTTTGATGGAGATCAAGAGTATAAATCATCTCAAAAAAGATTCCGCTTGAACGTAAGATCATAGTTCTTACGAGTACGAACATGTTCCGCCCAACCTATTCAATCTTTAAGACTGAATTCTCCGATATTCGCCGGCATTCTTACGCCGGTTGTCGAAGAATAAGTCTCGGACCAAAGGAATAGTTACTTACCAAAAAATGTATACCAAAAATAACATTCCTTGAATTTACGTCGATACAAAACCATTATGATCTTTCATCCGAATTAACCTCTTTGTAAACCTGATCTTCCATTAGATCATTGATATGACAACTACGTCACCGGACCACAAAATAGCAGTCAAAACAGTTGTCTTTCCAACCGTTTAAGCCATTCGAAAACATACGCACATTGCGGCTTGTACGGGGAAAATGCGAGGAAAATTATAGCAACAGCTGCTGCTCTCGTTTTTCAGGCAGCAGCTCTGCTGTCAAAGAAAAACCAACAACATTTTTTGTACATATGTATAAAAATAAAACTGAAAGAACCAACAACAGAAATATAACACAAAAACATTTGGGGAAAAAAGGGAAATTGTGTCAGTGCCTGCATTAGAAGAAAAGAAAAAGGCCAAAGGCGGAGGTCTCCCTGTGGTCTCCCTCGTCAACAAGCGAGGGGTATACGTGATCTGAGAGACGTAGAGGGTGTGGTATGCATGGTGTGCATGTTTCTGGCAACATGTTGCATGGCTGTCTGTGTCTCTTAGCACGTGATGGCCAAACTGAACAAATTAGCAAAGAAAATAGATATAGAAATAGGAATTGGCACAATTCTTAATTTGTTCAAGCGCCAGGGCAACAAAAGAACAACAGAATAACAAAAGAAGAAGCTAAAATCCACACTTATTTATAAACGTACGACTACGAGTATTTCCGCAAAAAGCAAAGCAAACGAATTTTTGTCATTTGATTGTGGGATCCACCTCCCTCGTCCACTTTCTTATCAGAAATCCACCAAGCGGGAAGCGTCAAATAAAATATACTCGTACTTGTAGTATTTTATATATAAATATATATGTGTATTTATATACAGACAGGTCTTTCATATCGCCTTTGATAAGACCGAAGAGCTTTGGCACAGTTTCTAGTTAAGAACGGGATAGCCCCCTGTCAAAAGAAAAACAATGAAAAAAAGAGTTTTCTCTTTTAGTTTTCTATTCCTAGAATTACTCGTAAACATTAGGTTCTTTGTATGGGTTATAGAGGGTGAGGTGGATTGGTAAGAGGAGCGGAGCCATATATAAACTCTGGCTTACGTAACGCTCAAATGAGAGATCCCTCACCCTCGCCTCCCTCTGTCGCCTCGTTGGAGGCTCTTACGAGGCGTAACAGTTGGTTAGGTCTGACGTCAGTTAGCGTCTGTTGAGCAGCAACAATGGCAACAAATTTAGAGGGCTTGACGATTCGACTAACGAGTGTAACTAAGGAAAACTACGGTTAAGCGAAGAGGCAGAGAGAACAGTAAGTGTTTTCTTATTAAAGTTGTAATTAAAAACCAAATCAAAATGGCTAGACACAAAGCAAAGCCTGCACCGTAGATGTTTCTTATAGAAATCTGGCAATCTAGTATAAAAGATATAAGGTATGTGAATACCATATGTATCTCAATACCGCCATACATCAAAAACATTATTGTAAATCCTCTTTTCAGATAATTATAGTCCTTTAAAGCCTGTCATATTTAGTTCTTAAGATGTCATAGTTTGCTACGTGGAAAGTTAGTTATAATAATTTGTATTGATATTGGGTGTTTTGGGTTGATTTCAAATGAGATAGCTTCATTGAGATGACGACAACTTTCGCGCTCTCTTGATCCGCTCTCTCGATGTCGTTATTGGGCCCAGCCCAGGTAAACAAAAGGTGCGCTTCAATTACTGGCCATTAGATAGATTCGATCGGAACCAGATTCTGATATCTGGTTTTTTTGTACCTTCGAAATTGAGGAGGACGTAAAATATTTTTGGCAGTAATAATTATAACATAATCGAAGGCTTTTCATAGATTCGTAGATTTTAAAAAGATTCTAAATATATATAATTACAATACAATAGCATAGCTTCTTTCTATTGACTTTCCACTTTTTATTGTGGTTCCTAATTGATCTAATCTTCAAATCTTTTAGGTACATTGATATATATGGGTATATAGCATTAATTCGAATTTAAAACCTGTTAAAGGTACCCTTTGATCAAATATAACCTGTTAAATTCTCTCTGAATTCCACATTCATTTTCATTAGGCAACAAGTTTTTTTTCGTGGTACCCTAATGTATGCAGCAAGCCGATTCAATTTCCGGGCTTAAACGTTTTCGTTCAGACAGAGAACAAAAAAGTTTGATTTCGGTTTTGTTGGGGGGAATACTCGTCATATCATGTCACGCATAGCTTAACACACGATGTACATTGTACACACTTTAAATGGTTACTAAAAATAGCAATGGGAATAGTTTGGGATGTACTTACTTGGCCTGCTGTTCAACTAACTTATCCACTTTGGCCTGTATGGCCTCCGCCGAGGGTTTGTGTACTTCCCCAAGGAATGTGAGGATGGATTTTGAGAGAGTCTCGATTTCTTTATGTGATGATTTAAGTTGATTTGATTCTTCACGTAATTCCTATGTGAAACGAAGAATGTTTATTAATTAAAATGTGCGAATATATTCGAGGAATTTCAATTAATATTAATTAAGGTTAATTAAGATCTCAAGTAAACGAAAAATTTAATTAAGGGAAAGCTCTCTTTAGATCTTTTTTTGCTGCCCAACCAATAACCTGTACACATAATTTTGTAGTAGTTTTTCTTGTTATTTCACTCTCAATTTCGGTTTTGATTCCAGTTTTTTCGAGAAGGTCAACATTAAAAAAATGTGAAAAATAAATGTGTTGACTTGACTCTAAAGCTTTTTTGGTTTAGAAAAAAAAAACGAAGAGCTAGTGATACAACAACAAAAGAATAAAACAAATACATCAAATTTATAGTCTGTTTCTGTCTATTTTTTTTTCGTCATTGTTTTGTTGAGGAGGTCTTAGACGAATACTTTTGGTGTTTTTTTTTTTTGGTTGTTTTATCGCCCAGGTATCGGCACTGTATATGGCGCTTGTATGACAACATCGTCACATCGATAAGGTGGTTGGGGGGAGGCACTCTTTTATGGCTGGAAATTGGCTTCAATTGAAATGTGATTTGAAAAGACTGCTATACACAGACTGATAAACAAGGCCTATCTTTTGTACTTCTGTCTGCTATTAATAGTAGTACTATTTTGCACAATTATCGCCCCAAACAATGAGCTCATCTTACAGCAAAAACCCATTCAATTTTGCTGATTACAAATCAACAAATAAAATCCATTATTGATACTAATAAATAATAAAAATAATACTAATACTAATAAATAATGTTGTACAACTAAATAACACCTTGGAATTATTGAATTTTCATGAAGATTAGCATTTTAAAGGTATAAGCCAGTCGTAAAGCGTGCTTCCAGCTTTATATAATTTTTTATAAGCCTTATATAAGTCGCTATCATATGGGATGCCATTGAAAAACAAAGTCTAAGAAAACTGAAAGTTTAAGCATTTCTTTTTTGTTTTGTTTCTTGTTTTCCCTTAATTACACCAGCATCATTAATAGATTTGTTGGTCATTTGGACATGCCCGAAATCAGCTGCTTTATAGCTTTTCGTGAAGCTCAACTCAAGATGAGAGAGAGAGAGAGCGGCGACGGCGGCGGAGAGAGAGCAAAACTAAGAGAGCGGAAGCTCTTTCGGTCCACAACAACGTGACCGTGAACTTGATGTCGGCATGGTTTTGGTACATATACAAAAATGTTACATACATAGATGTGTATACATATATTATATCAACGTATAATATGTAAACTTGTATATGTATTTTTTGTGATATATGTAGATATACATAGATTGGTAAAAATATTTGACATACCGCAAAGCCCAATAGGGAGGCGGGGCGCAAATGAATGAATCGCATCATACATACATACAAATATGTATGGTATGGAATGGAATGGCATGTAAATTTACTTGTGACCTTAAAAAACAGTAGGGAAGGTACTATTTCACTTTGGCACGCCGAAGCGTAAACACCCTACAAGAAGACCCTACTAGAAATGCACAAAAGATAGGTCACAAACTATAAGAATAGTTTCCCTTCTTACGGCTATTCAAAATGTCGTTAAATACCTCAGAAAAAAAAAAGAAGAAAAACTCACCTGAATGGCATTCTTTGTATCTTCCAAATGACGTCGGGATCTTACAGTTGGATCGACATTGCGGAACTTATCCTCTAGTCGACCTAATGCCTTCTCCCAGCCGTGCAAGCTGTTCTCAAAGCTATCCCAGTGCTCGGCCAACTGTTGCAGATTATCGCGACGCTGCTCGAGACTGCGTACCAGTTCCTGCCACAAGCGATTCAGGTCACCGTTATCCTTCTCAATCAATTGACGATTGCGTGCGTCCGCCTGGCGTATGAGGGCCTGCGATTGTTGGTTAACCAGAGAAAGGTCGCTGCTTTGACTCTGCGAAAAATACGCGCCGGTTAATATCCAGTGTTACGAGAGTATGGTATGGTATATGGGTGTGGGGGGGAGTGTGACGTAACCCGCACAATCGTTAGTATGTTTATATAAAAAATATATAATTTTTGTGTTGTTTTGAATATTTTAGTGTATATTTTATGTTCTCTTGAAAGAGTTCCCTAGTCTACTATTTAAATATATGTATATTTGAACCCTGACATATGTCTGCTTTTCTTTAGGGGGGTGTCACTGCTTATTCCTATAGAATTTTTTTCGTAGATACTTTTACACACACGCACACACGAACGCGTGCACGTACACACACCTCAAATAAAGCTTCCTCTTGGTTTTCTTTTTATCTCTTTTAGTTCTTTTATAATAGATTCGATTCGAATGGCTGTAGAATGACGTTAGCCTCTGAATACGATATTGATGTCTATCCGCTTTTTGTTTGTTGTGTTATTTTTTCCTCGTTCAATTTCAATTTGCGCGTTTCAAGCACATGGCTTTTTTGTATTAGAACGAAACGAGTAATTCCAAATATAACAAATAACGCAATCTTTTCCCTTTCTAGACGTGTCTGTCGTCGTCGTCGTCTCTTTCCATACGTGGTATATATTCGCTTGTATATATTTTTGTATATGCTTTGGAGCAAATCGCGAATAAACAACAACCGCACAGATAAACGTCTCAGAAAGAAGTGAAACGAACGAAACACAACTCAAAAAACCCCAACCCCAAGCACGAGTTAGAACTGTAAAGAGCGGTGCGCCATCAAGAGAGGACTTTCCCAACAAAAGAGCACGGCTAAAGAGCGCAAAAAAAGCCGGTCGGTCACAGCTCGAAACACGTTTTTTTGCGGCACCACTATAGGAGCATATCTACGTGTATATGTGTACACTCGTATGTATAGGTACGAATATCTTTTTCGGTGGGCGTGGGTGTTGAGGAACTAATATCTACAGACCACTCAAAAAACCTCGAAACCTTCAATTTGAATGCCTCTCCAAGCTTCCCAACCGGCATGCTCTGCCCTACAAAGCTACATACAGTTACAGCAAAACAGCTGTATGCGAAGAGTAAAGAGAGAGCGCTCTTAAAGCTCGCTCAGCTAACAGACAAAATAAAACGGAGAAGAGCAACCCAACATGTGTTTTTGTTGCTTTGCTACAGTGTCGGCCGCGGCTCTTGGCAACCAGGGATAGAAGATGTACAGATTTTTATGGATGTTCGAACTGCAGTCAAAGTTCTACCACTTGAATAACTTTATACAAATAAAACTTGATAAATAGACACCATAGTCCATATTGCTACAACTTGAACGGAAAACTGTAAACCTCTATTGCAAAAGATTCCATCTAAAGATTTTCTAGCTATAGACGATTCTATTATATTTATAAACATTTAGTCATAGAAGTTCATCTCTTATTTACATAGAGGTCAAAGTTATGAATTAATTTCCATACAAAAATGGCTATTTTCTATTTTCATCTTTGGTATTTAGAAAAATTAGACATGAATAAATCATTGCTCTCAACCGAATATATGGTCGTTTATAGATGCTGATGCCCCCCTTGGCCATGCCCATCCCTGGCTAAAAACTGGTTGCTTTATACAGTGCTTCTGCCAGCCAGCGTGCTCTGCTGTGATGATGTCATATCGCTTAATACGTTCCGCACACAGAGCAACAGCAACAACAACAGCTGTTTTTTTTTTCGCTTCGAAACTGAGCATTAAATTCGGACGAGGCTTGTTGTGCCTTGAATAATCAAACCAAAAGTTTGACAGAACGAACAGGCCGACGACGATAAGCTCTCAATATATGTACGAATACACTCGAGTGTAGCGACGACCGACGAGTAGGTTAAAAGTTTAATGAGTTCCCAAGGTAACAGCAGGCGCTTACGAAAGTAAACAAATGGACTCGGGGCGCGTTCAATACAACACTATCGTCATCTGACACCTCCAGACCGGGGGAAAGAGAGAGGGCCAGACACTCTAAGAGAAACTAACGAAGAGCGAGACAACGCGAGATAGGGGAAAACGCAATTGAAAGTGTCTGGAGAGCTTTTTGCCGGCCGGCAAATCAAGTCGCAACGAGAATGCAATCGATTTGGGTGCGGGTAAATGACAATTTCATACATATTTATTCTCTTTCTCTCTCTCTCTCTCTCTTTTCGTCTCTCTGTCTCTTAAGGCGTTGCATTTGCACGAGTACAAGTATGGGAGTATATGCGTGTGTGCCTCTGTTTGTGGCACATCCTTGGGCAATGTGTCATTTTTTGGGTTTGTATTTTTGGAAAACAGGTCTTTCGGCTATGGCTACATATACATATTTATGTATGCACCAAAATGTGCAAGCTGCCAGCTGAATATGCATGACTAAGTACATATGTATGTATGTACGTATGTATTTATGTATGAAGACGTGTACATAAGTGTGCAATTAATGCGAGAAATATTTAAAGTTTGAGTCAACTAGAACCTTTCACTCCAATAACTCCTCTAACTTTAAGATTTTGTTGTGTTATAACCATATATTGAAAAATATTTAAACCAACGAAATATGAGTGGAGGCTGACATGATCATGTGATCATCCCAATCGGATGACAGCTATACGACATAATAATCCGTATATAAAAAAGTTTTGGCAAATCATGTACATGTGTACATACGAGCACAAATCACGTACTAGGCGCGGAAATAACATAAAAACCTGATCTCCAAGAGACACTTTACAACAGATCTTTCCTAAGAAAAGCTATTTGATGCAGTAATCCGCCTTTTGGAAGACCTATACTTGAGTCATATTCCTTGTAAAGATTGCTTGGAGTATATGTACATACCACAGACTGATAGCAGGTGGAGGAGTACCACCACCTGCAGAACCTCGAAGATAATGTGCAAGGAGCGCAACGAGAAACTTAGCCACTACCTACTGCACCTACCACGAAAGGACTGCAGACTGATGGTGGGAATACTAACAGGTCACTGTCTGGCTGCTGCACATGCAGCAAAGCTAGGCATCACCAACAGAGACAGTTGCAGGAAATGTGAGGAACCTGGGGCTATCGAAACCCTGGAACATCTCATCTGCAACTGTCCGGCTCTCTCAAGGGCAAGGAGGAGATACCTGGGCGCCCCAGTGTTGGCATCACTGGAAGATGCCTCCAAAAGGACGCCTCAGGAACTGCTGGCCTATGCTAAAAACACCTCGATTCTCGGGGACTTTTTAAAACCACATTAACACTCCCGCGACGGTTCATACACCCCCGCCCCCATCCGGATAACTAAGGGCCATATTGGCTTATGCGCGGCCCCGCTGAGGGCCGTCCGGGTTAACCTAACCTAACCTATGTACATACTATAATTCTTTTCAATTAAACAAATTTCAGACCCCACGCATGGCATAAATTTGGTTTTTGTATTCCTAGTCCCGATTTTTGCACCGTCAATTTGTGCGACATAGCGCCAAAATATATATACAAAGCACTACATAGGATCAAGGGAATGCCCTTTCTTCGTCATCTGTGCATACAAATTCCAGTAAATATACTATCCCTACAAGCGTTCCATTCACACAAAGTATCTGTGTAATCCCCGATAGATGTAGGGTTATTATTGATCCCTTCAAATGGCTCACCTGAACATTTCCAATGGCATGCGACAGCTTCTGTATGTTAAAGTGCACTCCGGCCAAATTCTGTACGGGTTCATCGCTGAATTTGGTGCGCTCAATGGTGGCCTTGACGCGGTCAATCGATTGCTGATATTCGCGCCAGCGTTCGGCCTCCTGCTCCAGTTCGCTCTGCTGCGTCTTGGCATTGGCCAGGGTGTTGGTCAGTTTGTTCTGGAACTGGGCCAATTCGGAAGATAACTCCGACTGCTCGTAGTTGTTGAGCGACGACCAGATCTTGTCGGCTGCCTCTTGGATCTGCTTGTGCACCAGATTGCGGATGGGTGCCTCGTTGCCAAAGAAGATCTTGTGCTCGTCCAGGTCGTGGACCAGATGCTCATAGTCGATGCCATGCTGGCTGTTCTGCAGACGCAGCTCAGCCTCGTGGACCCAGTCGTTGAATTTGGCCACCAGTTGCATGTACTCCAGCCGGGAGTCGCGGTTGTTCTTCAGATACTTCTCGCGCTCCTCGAGCTCGTGCGGCAGGGAGGCCACCAGGGAACGACCCTCGGAAAGCATTTCCAGCAGAGAGCTGGGCATTCCGATTTCCGTCTTTACGCCATCGTTAATCTTGTTGAACTTCTGCAGATGGGCGTCAATGTCCTGGCTGAGGCTCTGGTGTTTCTGCAGCTCACGCTCCACCGACTCTGGATCACGATCGAGCAGGGGACGGGACTTGGCCGCGCCCTCATGGCTGTGCAGCCAGTCGAGAATCTCGCTTAGCTCCGCGCCCATCTTCTTGTGGGACTCCAGCTGAAGCTGATGCTTCTGTCGCTGTGATTCCACGGCCTTGCGGAGATTCTGCAGTTGGTTTTTCAGAGACTGCAGCTGCTCAGTGATGCTGTTCTTGTCGGCCGCATTGCCCTCGGAGGCGATCTTCTGGCCCTTGTCGTTGGCCGAAGCCAGGACACCCTCGCACTCTTGAATTTTGACAATCACATCGTCATACTTGTTGATCTTATCCTCCAGGCTGTCGGGGGAGTTCTCAATGTCAATGATTACATCGGTGTACTTCATGATAAAGGATATGATCTCATTGATCAGCGCAATAAACTGTTCGCGAAGCAGCAAAAGCTGCCGGAGATGGGCCAACTGGTCTTCAATCAGCTTGATCATATCATCCTGTTGGGCCAAAATGCTCTGCAATTCAGGCAGATCATCCATCTGCATGTCACCCATCTTGCTCTTGCTGTCCTTCAGTTCCTTGAGTATACCCTCGTAGGCACCCAACAGATCCTGGACATCCTCGATCCTCGAGCCAATCGGGCGATTCAGCTCACGCATGCGCTGCTGAATGGTGCTCAAGAACTGGCTGCAATCGGCCAAACGACTCTTGGCATCCTTGTACTTCTTGATGTGGTCGCCCAAGGCATTAACCCTGTCATCGATGGTATTCTTTACACGTCCATAGCGGTCCTTCATGTTCTTAATGTCATCGTTTAGTTTGAGTTTATCGGCATTGCTTAGGGTTGGCAAGATACTCTTGCCCTGCTCGGATACATCGTTGCAGAGGCCGCCCATATTCTCGGCATTCTGTAGCAGCTTCTTGTAGTGCGCCAGTTGCTCTTCCAGGACAGGCAAACTGGTGGTCCTTAGCTCACCTTCGGTGGCCGTTTCCATTTCGTTCAGCCAGTCGCCCATCTTCTTCATCGAGTCTTCGAAGGCCTTGCGTCCCTGGAGTAGATCGTCCAAAGATTTGCCTCGCTTGCTGCTCTCGTCCTTCAGGGTCTGATAGTCGGCGGCTATTTCGTCGAGGATCTGCTGTAGGGCAGCCTTGTCCCCGTCATCGCAATCCTTCATGATGTTTGCTGCCTGACGTTGGACATCGCTGAGTACACTGTCGTTGAACTGTTTGGCATCATCGTCGTATTTTTTGTTCTCCTGCAGTTTCTTCTCAATCTCTCCAGAGGTCAATGGATGATAGACGGGTAGCTTGCGCACCTCCGAGATCTTTGTCTTGAGCCATTGACGGGCCTTGTCCAGATCGTTTTCCAGGCCCTTTCGTGCCTTGCTAGCCTCCAGAGCGCGATCCAGTTCGGCCTTTAGCACGCCAGCCAGATTACGATTCTCCGTGTTGAGGTTCCTCAGAGCAGACTCCAGTTGGGAGTACTCTGCTGGCTCCAATTCCGGCTGCATGTTGGCAATACGCTTCTCGAGGACATCAGCCAGGGATTGCTTTGCTTCGGCATCCTTCATCAGGCTCTTGATCTTCTGCTGACGCGCCTCGGCATCCTTGGGTGTGTATCCCAGAGGATTGGGGGCCTGCAGCTCTTCGATCTGTTGCTTCACCCAATTCTGGAGCTGGTCAATCTCACCCTTGGCTCCATCCACACCCTTGTTGGTGACATCCAGGAGCTGGGCCTTGCGATCGATGCGCTTGCCGAGATCGGCAAAGCGACGATCCAGAGATTTCATTTGCTCTTCGACCTGCTGGCCATCCAGATTGCTGATAACCTCTGCCACCTGTGCGGCTTTACCCTTGAGCTCCTGGATCTTGGGATGACCCTGGAGTTCGTATTCGTTTTTGATTTCATTAATGGCGGCCGTCTTTTGGGCACAATTCAGGCCCGATCCGCGATCCAGGACATCCATGCGCTTGATGAGTGTGTCGAACCAATTTTGGACATCCTGCATGCCCTGGCGGTAGCCATCGATGACATTCTGGCCCGCCTGCTTCTTGGCAATGGCATCCATTAGCTCCGATTCCAGCTTGTCGATATTGTCATCCAAATCTGTGTCCTCATCGCCCACTAAAAAACATACAAATTAATATTTACGATACTTGTAATCTTTCCTTTAAGCACTCACATGATCCAGTCATTTCCAGCATCAATTGCGAGCGTTTGTCGCCAATGGAATTCAATAGATCATTCATCGCCACAAGCTCCTGTTGTGCCGCCTCGGGACGGAGTTTGCTTGGACGCATCGACCAGTCAGAGACGGAGCTCTGTTGCTTCTTAACCCAATCCTGCAGCTCGGCGCGCTGCTTCTGCTGTTGCTCCAATTCGCCAACGGATGCAGTCAAACCACCCAAATGGGATTGCACCTAAACAAAAGCATTGACACATGTTTATCTATTCACAGTTTCTTGAGAATTCAATTGAGTTTTTAAATGGAATAAAACAAGCAGTTAATAATTTAATTAAAGACATGCTGCCCCAGCCACCGCATCATGATTTGGTTCCGGATTTGTGTGATCCTTGGCATAGCTTACCTTGGCGACGAGTTCGTGCAGCTTGCTCACATGGGCACTATTCAGGCGAACTATGCGACGATAGTTGCTGACACGCTCATGGGCAATCGGATCCAAACGCGCCTCATGGACATCGCTGAGCTCAACTTGGATCTCATCATCATCTTCATCGATATCGTCGGTTGAGCTCCGAGTCTTTTGCGGCGGTTGCTTTTTCGAAGCAATAGCAATGGCATAGGCAATAGGCATTTTTCGAGCATTGTTTTTGTTTTGGTAGTGCGTTTATACAACAGTTACGGGTTGGGTTGTGGGTCGTGGGTTGTGCAGCAAATCAAACAAAAGTTAGGGCAGTGTTGGGTGTGTTTTGTGTTTTGTTTGGGGATGGTTAGGGGTTAAATTGGAAAAACAAATCATTGGTTAGCAAATCAAATGGAAAAATCAAATAAATGTGAAATTGGTCAAGACAGTTATTAGAAAATAGTGCCACTCTTCCATTAGGAGAACATTCGTCAAATGATGATAGCTTCGCTGTACAAATATTCCATAAAGGAAAGGGTTTCATAAATGTTAGGATAGAGAACTCTAATCCAACGGATACCTTTTCTTACGAATGATGCGATCGAAGACTATTTGCCACGAATGAAAGACGTTATATAAATACCTATAAGCGAACGGATACATTCGTGTCGAATGACACAAGAAGAAATCATTCGCAAAGAGCCTTGAGGTATTTTTCACGATTAAATGCCGTAGTATTTTGAATCTTGCGTGCCATTTCAAATTTCAAGTTTCAGATTCAGATTTAAATAGATTTTAGATCCAATATTATTGTAGAAAGTGCAAGTAAATGTAATAGGAATTTCGGAAGAAATATAGTACGGCTTAAATTGTGAAAATCAGCTGAATTTTGTGTCAACTGATTTGCCAGTCACGCGTAAGCATTGCATGTGACGAATGTACAACCAATGGAACTATGGTCTTAGCAGGAAACAAATCTACAAAATGCTTCCTTAAAGAATAACTACTTGAAAGTAAAAGGATCACACATCTACAAACAAACATCAAGTTATTATCTATCCAGATTCCTACCTGATCCAGCAGATCTTCAAGCTTGGCGCGCACAATCAATTCACGTTCGGGTATGGCCTGCATGGCCGTCTCCAGCGGAGAGCTGGGACGACTAATCGAGGCAGTGGCGGCTTCACAGGCCTGCACGGCGGCTGCCAGTCGTGACTTTTCGTTGTTCAACTTGTGCTGCATTTCCTGGGCGCACCTGAGTTGATTCTGGGCCAGTTCCAAGCTGGTCGCCGGTGCATCCAGTTCGGTCTGAATGATCGGCTCGTAGGCCTCCAGATTCCGCATGATGCTGTCGAGGGTATCCTCGTACTCCTGGAACTTTGCCAGTGATTCCAGCAGGCGATTCTTGATCTGCACTGAGGTCTGCAGCAGGGAGTTGTAGCTGTCCTGGATGTTCTTCAGCTGCGACTCGACCGTGGGACGGATGGCTGGAGTGGTGGATTCATAGCGTTTAATCTGCGCCTGACCCTTGGCATTCAGGTCATCCAGATTGGTCTGATACTTCTGAATTTCAGAGAGCAATGCCTCGTGCTGTTTGATCTGCTCCTGGGTCTGTTCGCGATTCGAGATAAACAGCGAATTGTGGGCCATCAGCTGGAAGGAGATCTGCAGCAGCCACTTCTCCACATCCTGCAAACTCTGATGGTACGCATTGTAGTCGAGCATCTCCTGCTCGAGAGCCTTAATGTGCGACGAGCAATCGTTCTTTAGCTTGTCGCAACGCGACTGCAAACGATTGACGGCATCCACTTCGGTGCCCAACTCCCGGGCCTCCGACTGCAGCTGCTCCAGATCGTTGCCCTTCTGCTTCAGCTCGTTGCCCAACGTCTTGTAGCGCTCGAGAAGAGTCTTCATTTCGCTAAGCTCTCCCTTGGTCTCGGGCGCCGCCCTCAGCGTCATCTCTGTCTCGCTTAGCCACTTCTCGAGCTTCTCCTTGTTGGCGGCAAAGTCGCTCCAGCGATTCTGGGCTTGCTTCAGGTCGCTCAACTTCTGCTTGACAGCCAGACCCAAGGCATCCCAGTCCTCGCGCACTTTGGTCATTAGTTCGCGCAGTTTCTCCTGCTTGTCCTCGGGCGTGATGTTGGAGGCCTTCGAGTAGGCATCTTGCACCAAGGCCAACAAATGCTGACCCTCGGGCAGACGAGAAGTCAGAGACTGTTGGAGGAAAAGAAAGTGTTGTTTATGTTAGAGCTTGATCACATTATAGTCTCTTCGGAACACCATCTGGTACCCATGGAAATCCCACTTAAATTCCCATCAAAGACTTCTCCATTACTCACATTGACTGTATCCAATTTCTGGGCTATGATCGAAGCATCCCCATCGGTACTGCAATCGTTGAGAACTTGCTGTGCTTTCTCTATCCAACCATCCATTTCCTTCTTGTAGTTGAGGAACTCTGTGTGATCCGACAGATTCTTCTCGATCTTGGCCACCAGGCCCTGGGCAGAGGTCAATAGTTTGGTGTAATTGGCCTGCGTTTCAATAGTTTGATCGCGTATGCGTGTACAAGCACTCTGCTCCATCAAGAGCTCGCAGTTGTCGTTCAAATCCTCGACATTGTCCTTCTCGGCGAGCACTTCCTCGAGTAATTTCTATGGGGAAATCGAAGACTTGATTATTAAAATCGAATAAAACAGAAGTTGGAAAACACATAAAGCATATATTAGGCATTAGACAATTAGTCTGTGTAAATGATTAGAGGCTGCAAGAGTGAGAGATAGTGATTAGCTGAAAGATTAGCAATACTGATTAGTGGTTTAGTCTATGGATTAATTTTGATTGATACAAATTTTTGGCGGTGTTTCGGTGAGACTCTACTTTTGGGTGCGCGGATATATACGTATATTTTTTTAGTACAATTAGTGGAGCGTGCGACAGTTGCGTTTTTGAGACTTGTTTTTGACAGACAGAAGACGTGAAGCAGACTTCTTCTTACCTTGGCATTAACCAAATCTTCGGTGGTTTTGTTTTCGGCTTCCTGTGATTTGGTAACGCGCTTGCTCATCGTCTCGATCCACAGATTGATTTTGTTGAACTTCTGCAGGAAGGTCTGCCAGGCATTGAGGCAGGCCTCCAGACTGCTGCGCGCATCACGCGACATTGCCTGGAGGGTCTCCCATTCGGCAGTCAAGTGTTTGATCTCCTGCGCCACATTGTCCTGACCCTCGCGGCCGCTGGTGGCTATGACTGCTTGACTGAGCTCCTCGCAGGCATCCAGCAGGGATTTGCCCTCCAGAGAGGTGGCCTGTATGTCACCCAATCGATTAAGACGACTCTCCACCTGATCCTTTTCGCCATGGCAGTCGGCGCATTGCTCCACATCGATGCGAGTGCGACGCAGCCAGTCCTGCAGCTCATTGTAGGCCTGCTTGTACTTCTCGTGGCTGTTGACCTGGTTCTCCAGGGACTCTATGATCTTGTTGACCTCCCCTTGAAGATTCTCGAATTTGCCGAGACCCGGCTGGAAGTCGTTGACATCCAGGCTATTGTCCTCACGCAAACGCAGATTGATCTTCTCCACAATGTCGTTGTGTCCGTTGATATCACGCTGGATGACGCGGAATTTCTCGAGGGCAGCGCGTTTCTCGCTTAAATCATTGAGATACTCATCGCTGGCCTTGACACTGGGCTCGGTCTCGTCCAGCCACTCGATAAGGATCTTGTACAGCTTGAAGATCTCCTCCAGCTGGGCCAAGCGGTTGGCCAACTTCTGGCGCACTTCGTTAAGATCCACCAGCAGCTTATCAAAGTCCTGCTTGAGGGCCTCGGTGTCTTCTTGAATCTTGGCCGCACCATTCTGTTCCGTGTTCATGATCACCTTTTCTTTGAGCTCCAGCAGATACCGCAGCTTGTTCTGACCCGTCTCGAAGCCTTGGCGGAGATTCTTGACGGTGTTCAGTTTGATCTGGACTTCATTCAGGGTGCTGGGTATGTGCTCGCAGTCGGCCAGCTTCTCGCGCGTGTTCTCGATCCACGACTGGCACTCCTCGTAGAGGGAGTGATGCTGTTGATGCTCCTGGTAGTGCATCTCCAGGCGACGCATCACCTCCTTGGCCAGGGTCAACAGGGCGTTGTATTTGGTCGTCAGCTGCATGATGGCATTGCTGATGCGCGTGTCGGAGCAGGTCTCCAGCAGCACTTGGGCTTTCATATTCAAATGATCGAGGGTCTTCTGCCAGTCGAAGAGGGTCTGCAAATGTCCCTGGAATTGCTCGAGGACGACCTTCTTTTGTGTGAGGCTATCCTGCAACTTGTTGTAGGACTGTACCAGAGCCTCTGTTTTGCTCAGCCACTCCAGGGCTTCGGTGTACTGATCCTGGTAGTCGGACCACTTAACAATTCCCACCTCCAGGTAGTCCTTGGCCTTGTTCAAGGCCTCCACATATGCATCGAACTCCTCTTGGAGTAGGGCCACCTCCTGCTCTATGATCTCACAATCCTCGGGCTCCGCACTGCGGCAGGCAATCTCGCCCTGCTCCAGGGCATTCTTTAGCTTCTGCGCACCCTCGGGCACTTCGCCCTGGAGGATCTTCAGCTGGTGGGTCTTCTCGGCGAGCGCCTGCTTGTCGCCTGTCGGCTCGGAGCACTTGCTTAGCCGCTCCTTGGCATTGCGCAGCCATGTGGCAAAGTCATTGCCGGCATCGATCAGCGACTGGTAGCTCTCGATGGTTGTCTTCTGCTTCTCATAGAGATCCTTGGCTTGCTTTGTGAGATTCTCGTACTTGTCGGATATCTCTGTGGCTGGGGCTCCTTGCTGCAAATCGGAAGCCTTGGACGCGACCGACTGGATCATCGGCTCGAAGGACACAATATCCTGGACAATGTTGTTCGTCTGTCGGAGATTGGCCTTGCGCTCGCTCAGGCCACTACTGAGACCCGGTTGTCCCCGCTTTGATTTGACAATCTTCTGCTCGCAGGCCTGCTGGAGCTTCGCCTCCCTGTCGGTGATCCATTGCTGCAGCTGCGTGTAGCTGGAGCTGTAGTCCGCCCACTGCAGTAGGTTCGTCTCCAGTTGGACCTTGGCATTGGACATTTTCTTCACAAGTCTGTCCCACTCCGTTTGCAGCTCCTTCATTTCGCTGTTGATCGCATCCCTGCCATCCGAGCGCGTGTTGCGTATAATCTTTTCACCATTATTGATGGCCGTGTGGACCAGATTTTGACCCACTTCCCGGTTGCGTATCAGGTCCTGAATCTGTTCGAGGCGGCGCTGGAGGGCCTCCTTGGAGCCAGCACCATCGCCGGCCGACTGAATGGCCGTCTTGGCATGGGCTATCCAGTCCTTGGCCGACCGCATGTTGCAGTCGTATTCGCGATGCTGATCTCGGTTCGTTTCGACCTTTTTCAGCACATCCTTGGCCAGATTTACTTGGACCTGATAGACAGAGCTCAGGTGCCGCAGTTGGTTGTTCACATAAGTATCCAGATGGGACTTGAGGAGACTGGCAGCCGAGGCATTGAATCGATCAATATCTTCTTTGCCCTTCTCCAGTCGCGACATCACATCCTTCATGTCTGCGACCTGCTTCTCCTTGTCCGGCAGATTGGGACACAGATTGAGCTTGTGATTCTTGACCAGTATATCAATCTGCTGCAGCCATTCCATGAGACGTTCGTACTCCTCTTTGTAGGCACGCCACTGAACCATGGTGACCTCTAGGTTCTCTTTCTGCTGATTGATCTCACGGAACAGACTCTCAAAGCTGTCGCGCAGGGCGCGTATATCATTCCGTATGATCTCCTGTCCCTGCGTGGAGGTACTCGCGAGCACCACTTCGCCCGTGTGCACTAGATGCTCGACCAACAGTTCCCCTTGGGCCTGCTTATTGAGCAGGGCTTCTGTGGCCTGAACAGCATTCTCAATGGCCAGTTTGTCGCTCAAGCTGCTCTGTTTCAGGGCGGGGAACTTCTCCCGGGCACGACCTATCCAGCTAACGAGATCATCGTATGCCTCCTTGAACAAACGATGATCCCTGTACTGATCCTGACGGTCCGACAGCAGCTTTTGTGTCTTCCCAAACAATTCATCGAAGTTGTCCAACACCTTCTGGGCCTGGTAGGCCGCCTGACTCTGCTGCCCGCTGGCAATCATTTCCTTGGCCTGTACTTTCAATGCGTCCACATCGATCTTCTCCACGCGCACCTTCTCCTCCGTGGACTTGACGCGATCGAGCTGTGCTCGCTTTTCCGTCATTGTGGTCTGATTCTCCAGTAATTCTTTCAAGAGAGCCTCCAACCATTCGTTGAACTTGCGCACATTCTGCACTTGATCGAGGAAGCCCGACCATTGGGTTATCGAGTCGTCCAGATTCGATTTCACATCCATTATGCGCAGGGCAATGCCAGACCACAGGTCCTGTAGATCGGTGAGGTCCCTGTTGATGGCCTCATGGCCAGCTGGCGCTGTATTGGCCAGGACATGTTGGGCCTGTTCCAAGATCTTCAAGACGCGCGCAGAACCCTCATCCTTGAGGAGTATGACATCCTGAATAGTGGCCAGTTTCTTGTCCAGTTCTTTTTGGCTCATCGACGACATGTCCGAGCAGTAGTCGAGCTTCTCCTTGATGTCATTGATCCAGGACGTACAATCGTTTAAGGAATTATCAAAGTCCTCGTGCGTGGAGACATATTGCTGCCAGCGATTGTTCAGTTCCTTCACCTTGTGGAAGATCTGCTGGTATTTCGCGACCAATTCGGGACCCGAAGACCGATGACCCTTGAGGAGAGTCTGTGCCTTCTCTGTGACATTATCCACTTCCAATTCCTTGGCCCTCACATCGCCTTGGAGTGCCTTCAGAGCATCCAATTGTGTGCGCTTCTTGGGCAGATCTTCCTTCAGATCAATGGCATGGAGATTGTTGTCGGTATCGCGTATCCATGCGAGACACTGATCCCTCAACTGTTCGTATTCCGACCAGTGTTGGAGACGCGACTCTATACCCTCGATGGTGGAGCCAATGGCGGCAAGGAGACCCTCCCATTCCTGTTGCGTTGTATCGATCTGGGACTTGATATTCACTTGACCCACATCCACGGTACCGGGGATGACCTTCTCGCCCAAAGCACGCACTTGATCCACGCGAGGAAACTCATCGGCCAGACTAGCCTTGAGGTTCTTCAAACGATCCAGATTCGTGTGCAGGGAGATCTGTTCCAGCTCCAAATCACCCCAATAATGAACCGTATTGAGGGTGGCATCAATGAACTCCTGGGCATCCATCACCGCCTTCGAGTACTGCTGATGGGCACTAACGATGCCCTCATAGCGCTCCACAAAGGATTGTCCGCGCTTCTGTAGCTTCCCAAAGCGTTCGGCTATATCCTTAAGGATTCCATCAACATGCTCTGTTTTTTCGGGAAGATTTGCGGCAATCTCTTGCAGATTGCCCACCTCCACTTGATGGTTGTTAATATCATTGAGTACATCCCTGTAGGTCTGCAGTTTTGTGCGCTTTTCGTCGAGCGTGGTCTTCAGTTCAATGTCCGCTGGCAAAGCATTCTCTGTCTCCTCCAGCCAGGACTTTAGGCTGTCGGCAATCTCATCGAATCCTGACCACTTGGCAATCTTATCCTGGATTTTCCTCGCCGTAATGGCAATGTTGTCAAACAGTTGATCGAACGTCAAGTCATCCAGCTGGCTGCGAATGGCCTCGCGACCCTCGGTGGCCGTGGAACCATAACATTTCTCCCCCAGCTCCACAGTGCTGTGCAGCAGCTGCGTGGCCGTGGGCTGTTGGGCCAGAAGTTCCTGGATAACCATCTGTTTCTTCAATAGATCATCGCGGGATCCCACGGCGGACAAATCACAGCAGTCGTCGTATCGTCCTTGGGCCTGGGCCAACCAGTTGGCACACTGCTTGTATTTATCATTGAAATGGCCATGATCCTGAACAGCTTGCTCGCACTTCTTCAGGATCTCCTTGGCTGTGGCTTGGATGGACTGGAAACGCGAGGATACCAGCTGTACATTCACGGCAATCCTCGTCTCGCCTGAGCTCTGCACCAGCTCCGAGGTATCGTCCTTCATTTTATCAAAGTCCGATTCGTTTTGACGCAAACTCTGGGCCAAAGATTGAAACCGATTTAGTTGTTCCTCCTTTTCTTCGAATGAGTTCTTGAGGTTATAGTTCTTCAGTGCATTCTCTGCCTCTCCCAGCCAGTTGATCAGACGATCCAAATTGATCTCGTAATCGTTCCATTGCTGCAGACGGTTCTCCAGACCGCTCTTGACATCACTCAACGACGCACCAAACTTCTCAAAGTCTGCATGTAGATTGGCCAAATCCCTGGCCATGGCCTCCTTTGATCGTGCGGGTATGTGGCTGGCATTTGCTTGGATGTGTTCTTCCAAAGATTTCAGTTTGGCTACACCTTCGGGCAGGGCGTCCTGGATCTCGTTGATTTTCTGGAGACGCGCCTGCAGGGCCGCCTTGTTGCCGGAGTAATCCGAGTAGCCCGTAAGACGATCCCACAGATTCTTCTGGTAGTCCTGTTGAGCCTTTTGGAGTTCGCTAAACTGTTGGTAGACCTCAAAAGCTGCATCCAGATCGGAGACCAGCTGGGCACACTGCTGTCCCACCTGATCGTAGCGCTTGTTCACTTCCGTCACCGCTTGGGCTATATCATCGGCATTTGGTGGGGCAGAGCTTCCTAGCAGGGCAGCTGCCTTCTCGTTGACTGCCTCCACGATGCGTTTGTGTGAGTTGATGTCCTGATTGGTAGCCTTGTATTTGTACAGCTTGGAGCGTATCTCCTGGGCACTTGTCCACGTAGCGGGGCTCTCATTGTTTAGTAGTTTTTCCACCTGATCCAACCAGTTGACCGTTTGATTGAGGATATCCTGATAGCTGGTCAATTGGACGCCCTGGGCCTCTTGTCGTTTCTCTAGATTACGAATGCCCTCGTCCAGTTTGTCCCAACGATCGCGTATGTCACGCAGGTCCTTTCTGATCTTCTCTCGTCCCTGAGTCGAAGTCTCCGGCAAAGCCTTCTCGCCAGCCCCATTGAGTGCACCGAAGAGACTCTCTGCCTGTTCTTTTTCGGATAAAAGAACCTGCAATATGTTGTGCTCCTGCTCATCCTTGAGCAGCACCTTCTCCAGTTGCACTTCAATCGGCTTCAGCCACAGATCAACCTCATTATACTTGTCCTGATAGAACTGATGATCGTCCACGAGATTCGACCAACGATTGACCACTTCCTTGCTCAACACCTGCAGCAATTGATAACGATTCGTGATCTGTGTGGTCAGGGTTTTCAAACGATCGGCCCCGCAATTGTTGAGCAGCGAATGGGCGGCATCGCCAAAGGCATCGATCTCTCGCTCCTTCTGGAGTATCAATTCGCGTTGGATCTTGTATTTCTCCAACTGTTCGACCTTCTCGTGCAGCGTCGACTGGAGCTGCTGCTCGCGGAACACGGCCTCGGCATTGCGACACCATTTGGTCAGTTCCTCGAGGGTCTTCTCGAATTTATCCCATTGGGCGAGGACATCCTTTTGTTTTCCTTCTATGCCCTCGATGTCATCAAAGTGGGACTTAAGAGTGACCTCCAGTTCATCTAATTCCTTGTCTAGGACTTCGTTACCCTTCTCGGAGGTTGTGGGCTTCACATTGTCGAATTGCAGACGTATATCGTTTATCAATTTCATGGCTTGGGGTTTGTTCTGCGCCAGCTGTCCCAGGGTTTCGATCTTTCGCTTAATGTCCGCCTTCTCGCCGTAGGCATCATCGCACTCCAGGAGCTTGGCCTTCTCATTCGATATCCAGGTCTTGGCCGAGGCCAGACCATTGTTTAGATCGTTGTGCCTCTGCACACAGTCCTCTAGATTGTGCAAGATCTCATCGGACTTTTGGACAATATTCTGAAACAGTTCCTTAATCGAATGCAGATAGATATTCAAGGAGTTATCCTTGATCTGATCAATCAGTAACTGTGCCTTGTCGCACACATTGTCCACCAGGACATTGTGAGTGGTGATCTCCTGGTGCAACAGCTTATGATTCTGCAACTGGGCGCGCTTCTCCTGCAACGTGGTCTTTGGCTCCGTGTGGCTCTGCATGGCCTTATCCACATCCTTCAACCATTTGGTCAACTGATCCTGGGCAATGCTGAATTCGTTGAACTGCAACAGACACTGATCAATCTTTTGGGTGGCCGCATTCAAATCGTCCGTGTAATTATCCCACAAGGTGCGTAGCGAACGCAACTGTTGGCGTATAATCTCACGGCCCTCGGGACTGGTGTGGCCGTACAGCTTCTCCCCGCGATCGATTAGACCCTCAAAGAGAGTCGAATCCGAGATGCGTTTGTCTGACATCTCGCGGAGTTTGTTCTGCTGTTCCTGGAGCACATTCTGATCGCCAGTGATTTCATTGGCCTTCGACAGATCATTCACAGAACGGGACAGACTCTCTTTGAACGCTTCGAAATCCTGGTCGAAACTCTCATGATCTTTTACATAATTCACATACTTTGCAATCGATTCCTTGCACAGGTTCTTGAGCGTCTGATAGCGTGTGTTCAAGCGCGAGAGTTTCAGATTTAAGTCGGTTTCCCCCTCGATTTCACGACCCTGATCCATCAGCTCATTGATGGCCGAGCCACGACGTTCAATGTCCTTTGAAATGTCCTGAAGTTGCTTCAGATGTGCGTTCTTTGCCTCCGCAGTGCTCTTGAGGCTCTGATTCTTGACGACAGCCTCAACATTCTTCATCCAGTTGTCTAGGTCTTCGATAATCGAATCGAATTCGTCCCACTTCGAGCAGAGTTGCTTGAGTTTCACCAACGAATCCTCACACAAAACCATAAACTCCTCCCACGCATGCTTTGGCTCTTCAAAGCCCTTCAGCAAGGCAGGATGTCCGTTGGGATGCGTCTGTTTTAGTACAGTCTCCAGCAGCTTGTGGCACGTATCAAAGATCGAATCTCCTTCGGGCTTATGCTGCAACAGATTCTCCACAACAATCAGCTTCTCTTCGGCTCCCTCTTTTTCGAATGTGGTCTCATTGAGGATGTCTATGGCCTCTGATTTGATGGTGTTCAACCAGTCCTGGGCCTTCTCCAGCACTTGATCGTAGGCCTCATGCTTGGTCACTTGATTGGAGACGGTACCGATACGATCGGAAATCTTTTTGGACAAAGTATTATACTCCTGAATGGACTCATCCGTCTTTCTTTCGGACTCATCATCGCAGAGAGTCACCGCCTTGTCGTGCAGCTGC